TTATTCCGGTCCGCATGACAGCGGGTCGCAGATTCAGCCACACCATAAAACAGCAATAAGTCGGTCTGAGGCAAAAGTGAACATCATGGCTATATCTTGTCCCCTATTGACATTTGATTACGCACGAGTAGGTGATCAGCTCAGGTTTACGCAGAACAGAAGGAAGGAGAGCGCTCTGGCCGCACAGGTTAAACGTTCCTACTTTAAGAAAACCGTTAAATTGCATTGTTTATGTGCTACCTGGGCACTCTAAATATTTATTCAAAATGAAATCAAAGGAAATTGTAATGATATCGAATGCTTATTAATTACTATTTAAAAAATGAAAGTGATGGGGAATTTTTTAACCCTTTCTGTTTAGCCTGACATCTGATATATATATATATATATATATATATATATATAGAGAGAGAGAGAGAGAGAGAGAGAGAGAGAGAGAGAGAGAGAGAGAGAGAGAGAGAGAGAGAGAGAGAGAGAGAGAGACATGCCCCGATGTGGGGGCTGGGGGGGGGGGGGGGTGCGTCGACATGGTCGGGACATAGAAGGGGGTGCGCGGGTAAATAAGTTTGGGAACCACTGCTCTAGCATTTCAGAGAGCTACTGTTTGACTCCAGCTGTCACCAGGTGAGAGGCGGAGCTACGGGCAGGTCTGCAGTCCATCACAGGGACACGCAGAGACAAACAACCGTTAACACATCTACGGGGACAATTTAGGGATTGGGATGGGTGATGTGCTCCCCCTGCTTCTCCTTCTTACAGTTTTTTTTTATTGCTAAAACAAGTTTTTCAAAACTGTACGTTTCTTTCAAAACTGCACACACAAAACCCCAAACATAACACACAAATTACTAAACCGTGGCTTCCCTTTGCAACAAAACCCTGCCACTACATATCGTAACATGTTCCCAAAATGGAACACGTGTTTTCATTTGGTAAACACAGCCACATTTTCACATGACACACACATACCACTTAAACACAAGTAGCCTTGGGTGAACACTACCAAGCATGGAACGAACACTGAAGAGCAAAATTGAAAACACAACTGTCGAAAGGGAACACAATGAATTACACACTGCATGTATGACAGTGGCCCCCCCCCCGTTTACCCCCCCCCCCCCCACACACACACACACACACACAAATTTTGAGACAAAACATTTTATTTTTACAGTGAAACCCCCCCCAAGCATAATCATGGGGCATCATGCCGCCGGTCTCTGTCTGGCCAGAGGGCCTCATCAACATCACAGGCGATGTCCTCCTGGTCCAAACAGCTCTGGAAGTACCGACTCGAGTACCTCATGAAGCCCTGACAGGCCTCAAAGGCCACATCTCTACAAGCCTCCTCCATGTGGGACCTGCACTTTGCACTCTGCACTCTGTGGATTCCTTTCGTACACCTTCCACCTCCAGGCTGAGAAAAACTCCTCAGTGGGATTGAGGAAGGGGGAATAAGGTGGAAGGTATAAAATGGAAAACCGTGGGCGGTCCTGAAACCACTCATACACCTGGGTAGGCTTGTGGAAACTTACTTTTCTGCTGCAGTCCCTGATTGCAAATTGCTCGCCAGACCCGAAAGTTTAGAGATTTGAATATTTGTGTGTTGTTGATCGAAGCTTTGAGAATTTATGTGAGAAGTGTGTGTAAACCTGAAAATTGTGTGTTGTGTTTTGACAGCAAGGTAATGTGAAACTGACATCAGAGTGTAAAGGAAGAAAATCAGAGTTCTGATATGATAAGGAAATCTTAAGTAGTGATAAAATGAGTCAAGCAATTGGGAACAGAAGTAGAGGTTGTGAAAATTGTGCCTCATTTTTGCTTTTTGAGTTTTAGCAATCGAAAAAAACTGTAATAATAACATTCACAAGAGGTCACAAACAAAGATTAGGGTTTCTTTAAGCTTCATTGACAAAATGAGGCTAAAATGTTTTCCTCTATCATAGTTTTCTAAAGTAGCTACAAACATATTGTGACGTTATGTCGCAATGCATTGTGGGAAGTAGCCCTAGACAATCAGGCGTATAAATTGCGTGGGTGCCTATGGGTCTGAGTCGCTCTGCTTGTCTCAAAGTTGTATTTTTGTCTTCAAAATGTGTTAAAACAGGAAGAAACTAAGCACCGCTTTTGGGCGAGGTGCTATTTGGACTCTGGATACTCAGATCGGATGTTTTATCCATTTTCCAAAGCCGAGTAGGAGCCACGATCACATGAAACAGCTGGAAAGGAAAACGAGTCTAAAGACAGAGAAAGCAAAGTGGTGGCAGATTTTTGTGGAAGAGCAGATTTTCAGTGTGGAAAAGACCAAGGCGTCACGTATATTTGTTCTATACATTCTCTCAATGATTAAGAAAAGTCCTACTGTATGTCCGAGAATGATGAGCTGACACTAGCAAGGTGTCCAGCTGAGCGTCTTGGCCAAGCAGCGTCCAAACATGGAAGAAAAGTGCTTTTGACCAGAGGTGGTGCATGTAAAAAGTAGTGACACAAATAATAACCTCAGAGTAAAAGTGTTAATTTCATTTCCTAGTTTGTGTTTGATCACTCAGAGAGATCAGCCGGCTAAAATTAAGTTAGCAGTTTCCTACATTTTATACTGTTTGGTTCTCTTATTTGTGAAAGAAAATAAACTTTTCCTCAAATCAAATTTTACAAATCGTAAACTGTGTTTAACAGTTACTGCTATCAGAGAAGGGGTGGATCGGCGGGCAATCCCCGGTGGACCGTTGCCCAAAGTGGGCCGGTCTGGTCTTTGAGTATTTCGAATCAAATTTAGAGAAGCATGCACTCAAAATGAAACATTTTAGAATGTTATTTTGGTAATAATTTCACCGTGGTAAATCTCAACACTTAGAAAAGTATAAACACGCGTCACACGGCCGAGACGCTTGTTTTGATGTATGATTTGTGGGGGTGCACTCTGCCGTTCGAGCCGCATTAACGTCTGCAGAAATAAAGACAACAAATCCCACCATAATAGGTAAATAAGAGCCCTGCTAGTGCAGTGGTGGACAATGTGAAACACTACTGTTGGATTTTAAAGGTTTTTGTGGTTTGAGTTGGTATTGTTGGCTTTGAAGTGGTGCCTAAGTTACCTTTGGACTGAGTAGATTACATCAAGATTCCAGTCAGTTATTGATCATCTCAAATAAAGTCAGTGGACTGAGCAAAAAAAATAAATAAATAAATGCCAAACTGACTCATAGCAAAGCAAATAATGCAACAAATGACTAATTTAAAGGCATTTCTGAATGTTTTCGCAGCTAAACTGTTAATGTGTTTAAAAGAAACTTTGGAGTTTGTAATTTCATGGAAAAATCAGGAGATAATTGTGTACTGTACTGTAAAGGTCTCATCACGCACCGTCTCGGTGGTCCAGGAGACGATGGTACAGCAAAGGTTTCTCATCTTATTTTAACAGCTGTAATAAAAGTAACCGACGTTGGAGTCATTCATGAAGCTCAGAAAAATCACATGTGCTTTACCATTTCTGCCTCAATCCTCCATCTGATTACACGACTGGAATGCATTTTATACTTGTGATTTGTTGCGATGTGTCATATTGCACTCTATTACTCCCCAGGTCGTCTAGGAAACCTGGGGCAACAAAATAATTATTGTCTGTCGTTCAGAATGTAACTCAAAGGTTTTATTTAACAGAACAGAGCCCAAAACACCAAGAACACCGACAACAAAATTGATCAGCAGCAACTAAACATAGCAACTACTTAGCCTCTAATTAGCCAAAGTAATATACATGTAAAAGATCATCCCAGCGGGGGCTTCTCCCCCCCAGTGATGAGTCTACGGAATCGAGTGCAGGGTTGTCCCTGCACAGAAAGGCAAAGTGGCTAACCAGCATGGACGTAATTTTCACTTTAGAAGTGGGGGGGACACGGGGGGGGGGGGGGGTATCTTTACAGTATGCTCTAATGGGAAACAGGCTTCAACACAAACGGTTGTTTTCCGCTTGGTCCTAGAGCTCAACCAGTGTCAATTTAATATAGCGTAATATTGTTTTCAGATGGTAAAAAGTGCAGGGGTCAAAACTTGACTTTGGAAAAAGTGGGGGGGGGGGGGGACATGTCCCCCCTGTCCCCCCAAAATTACGTCCATGCTAACCAGAGATGTACAAGTGCTGAGCGTCCCCAGCACAGAATTACACAAAGTTGCTATTTCTAAGGTGACTTTAGGTGACCAAATCAAAGCACGCCGAGGAGACAACAGATCAGAGACAACATCTCTGGTCTGCTGCTCCCTGAAGATATGAGCCAGGAGGTTTTTATGCCTCCAGTCCTCAATAAGTAGGTGATCATCATCTCTAACAGCTGGGTGCTTTAGGGTGGAGCAGGGCAGACTGGAGGGAACCAGGTGCTGCAAATCAGCTCCTCAGGTTCAATACAAGGAGGAGAATTATTAAACACAAAAGCCAAGCAGTGGTGAACGTAACACACACACTGATTTATCAACACTAATATGTTTTATAAGTGTTGCCCTTCGAGGTACTGGAAAGAGTTAGATTTTTGTTATTTGTGTTCTTGTTGAATAGTAAATATGTGGACTTATACCTTTTCATCTAAGGATTCCTTGTAATTGCCCACATAAACGGGGATGCTTAATATTTAACTTACCGTGAATATTATCTAACTTCTCTCCTTTCAAAGAATTGATATTACTTTACAACCTCTTAAAAAGGGATGTTTAAAATGTATTTTGTTAGGATGACAAACAGCTTTAAAATAGAGAAATCTAACTGAAAACTGACTGATTATAATTTAAAATCTATATTTTAGTTATCTTGGGAGTTTGCGTGAAGAATAAGTATCGTTTAATTTTTTTTCTATTGTGTGAATTTGCAGAACCCTTTTTATTGTGCTTTAGAAAGACCGTAAAAACGGGGGAAATGCTGACATTCAGAACTTTTTATTACAGTAGACAAAGTCCATACAGTTTCTGTCCTCTGAGGGGGGGACTGAGCTGTATTTATCTATGAGAGAAAGCAGAGTTGACCAATAATGTCTTTGACCTGTCTTATCTAAACACAGATAAACCAGCCTGCAAAACAAACGACTCATTTGTTGCAACAAGCTGCCAGGATGAAGAAGAAGTCGACCACCCTCCGCGTCAGGTTTCCTGTCTTTGTGTTTGGGACTCAGGTGCTTTTTGTTGCACTCTATGCTGCCTTTGTCACCTACGATGAGCACGCTGACGCACGCTTTCAAACCAACCAGACCAACCCAGTGCACAACACTGTGTACAGGGACTACCCTTTCTTTACAGACATACAGGTCATGATATTCCTCGGCTTTGGGTGCTTGCTGGCATTTTTTCGACTCTATGGCTTTGGTGGGATGGTTTTAAACTTTCTGATGGCAACTTTTGCCACCCAGTGGGCAATCCTGGTGCAGGGCTACTTCCAGTTCTACCATGATGGTAAGATCCATCTTGGGGTGATCAACCTCATAAACGCAGAGTTCGCCTGCGCTGTGGTTCTCATCTCGTTCGGAGCAGTGCTGGGGAAGACAAGCCCGCTGCAGCTGTTAGTCATGGCTCTGCTGGAGGTGCCGGTGTTTGCAGTCACGGAGTGGACTGTGCTAACGTATCTGAAGATCAATGATGCAGGGGGATCCATTCTCATCCATCTCTTTGCCTGTTATTTTGGTTTGGGTGTGACTTCAGTGCTGTACCGGTCTGGTCTAAACGAAGGCCACGTGAAGGAGAACACCAGCTATCACTCAGACATCCTCTCTGTTATGGGGACCTTGTTCCTCTGGGTGTTCTGGCCCTCATTCAACTCAGCATTGTGCCTGAATGGAGACGACCAGCACAGGGCCATCCTCCACACGTTTATCGGCCTCAGCGCCTCCACCCTCACAGCGTTTGCCCTCTCTGCTATGTTCAACAAAAATGGTAAACTCACCATGGCTGATATCCAGAATGTCACCCTGGCTGGAGGTGTGACAGTCGGAGCATCTGTTGATATGATGATAACGCCTGCAGCTGCTTATGCTTTGGGTATGATGGGCTGCATTGCCTGCATGCTGGGTTACAAGTACCTGAGCCCATTCTTGGCGCAGCGCTGCAGGATCCAGGACCAGTGTGGGATACACAACTTGCACGGACTAACAGGACTTATTTCATGCGCTGCAGGGATATGTGCCATACTGATGGCCAGCGAGGATGTCTATGGTCCAAGCTTGTATGAGATATTTACCCACAGAGCACCAGTAGAGGGGGACCCAAAGCTGCAGGAGCTCCAGATGTTGATCCCTGGTTTACAGGCGGGTTTGGGACGAAGTGCTCGGGAACAGGCTCTCTTCCAGGTTGCAGCTTTATTCTTCACAATAGGAATGTCAGCTCTGGGAGGAATTCTCACAGGTTGTGTGTTGAGGTTGCCTTACCTTGCATCGCCCTCTGATGACTGCTGCTTTGATGATGAGCTGTTTTTTGAGGTTCCCCCAGACTATGATTTGCCACTTAAAATCTGCAACAAAATTACTGTAGATGATTCTGCTGCTTGATGTGAAACATGCAGGTGTTTTTCCCCCTGTTCATTTAACTTGTAACCCAGAAATAAAAAAATAAAAAAATAAAAATTCCTGAAAGCAGTAGGATGTTACCTTGCCTGTGTGTTGCTCTAACTTTAAAATATATACGATTTCCATTGCACTGTAAATACATGCTGAAATAAGATGCAGGCCACTGATTCTGAAACATTTCTGGATGTTGATGTGAAGAATGCTTATAAACTCTTCAGGTGAATAAAGTCTTTCGACCAACCATAGTGTGGGGTTTCTGTTGTTCTTCTTGTCTGAATACCATATAATTAATGTTAAATATTTTGAAATGAGTCTTTGTTTGATTCTTTTAGATATATTTGAAAGTAATTTTACATCAGTTTGGTTTAGGAAATAAATAAAATAATTTCTGCACATACAAATACAAATTTAAATTGACATAAAATATGTCAGAGGCTTCTTAGTGCGTTTTAACACTTGTATTTCTGTAGTGTGGCCATAACCAGAAACAATCACAGCAAAACTCCACTTATCTCCAGTAGATGGCAGCAATCTAACTTCTGCATTAAAAAAACAGAGAAGAAGAAGTAGACGAAGGAAGGAGACGGAAGTAGGGTGTTAGGCCACGATCTGCTAAGAATAGCTGTTGGGCGGATGAAGAAAAGATTACACTACATCGAAAATTGTGACTTTATCTAGACTTTGTGTGTGCAGCGAAAAGAAAATCGTCGAGGCGAATCTCCTCAGCATACATTAGAAGTGGTTTAAACTTTTGGCACACCGATTTATCCATTTTATAAGGTAACGTCATTGTTTGGCAGATCTGGCGAGCTCGCTGCCGCGGAAACGCTGTTAGCGGCGGCCATATTGGCTCCTTGCGAACTTAACTGCTGTTCTTTTTTGGAAACGCATTTTTCATTCTTTTAACTATGAAAAATGGAGTCTGTTCTCATACCCGTTTGTTGTATGTTTGTTTGCGTCATTGTGATCAGCATGGATATCAGATTTTCTTAAAAAGCCACTGAAGTTTTCTCTAAATCGAAATAACTGAGAAGTGGCTAGTTAGCTTAGCTTTACGTCGAGGTTTGACGCGTGTGATAGTCGGCGGGTGGTTTTTTGTGAGTAAAAATGTTTTAAATCTGACTAATATTTAAACGTTTTGTAACATGAGATTAGTTGTACTGGTTTTAAACAAACTTTATTCTCTAAGCCCCATCTGAAAATGGTTAGCCCATCACTTCCAACTAGTCATCGTGATTCCCCACGTTTTCATACTCTTGTATTGATTGTGTTTCTTGGCCCTCCCAGGATCAACATGGCTGACGACTTTGACGTTGAGGCCATGCTAGAGGCTCCATACAGAAAGGTGGGTTGAAAGTTAGCAGAGCTCAGGCCTGTAAAACAGTCTTACTCCTTTGATTAGATCTGTTTAAATTTGCTGTTGTGAAATACTAGTTCACTTGAATGTTGTGTGGTGTGATTGAGTATTAAAACGCAATACAGAATTATAAATAAATCCACATCTATCTCTCTTTATAGACTTCCCTAATGATATCTCACCTCTGCTCCCATGAATTCATCTTTGATTCCACTGTGAACTGTGAAAAAAAAGGAAGGTAGTTATTGCGCATATACTGATGTACTGTGGTTCACTTTAGGACTTAAAGAGATTCAACCTAGAACATCCAATCCCTATTCGGTTGAAACAAGGTGAATGCCAATGGTTGATGAGCCCATCTTTACTTGTCCAGCAAAGGAGGCAGTATTCAAATTTACAAATTTAACTTGTTGAATGTACCATCTATGTATACTGCAACAAACAATCCCCCCTTTTTGCATGAATTTCACTTAAATGAATTTTAGATTCGGTAAACTCAGTTTTAGATCACTCTACTTTCCATCTTTGTAATAGAATAATTGTTTTAGTAAGTTTTTGAGCGACTATAACGTTTAGAGCTGCTATAGTGAATCTATTGAACATGCTAGGTTTTGAACACACCCAGCTGGATAAACGCTCACTTCTCCCTTTGGGTATCTTCCCTGCGACGCTTCTGTCAGAACCGGAAACCTGCATTGCCAGCAGTTTCAAGAGAGCGCTAAACACCAGTCGCCGTTTTCTAGATCCAAACGTCTTTGAGCAACAAACCTCTGAAAGGTCTGAAACATGTTATTGACATAGGTTTTTAGACAAATGCGAGAGAACCACTTCAATAATTATTTTTGTTTAATTCTCCACAACATAATTCTAGCTATGCTATATTAGAACATTGTTAAGAGGCATGAAAAAAGTTTTAAGCTAATTTGTTTTCCACGTCTGCTATAGCAGCTTTAAATGCAGATATTCCAGCAATAGTCTTACTGGTCAGATGTCACTTGTGACCTAGTTTTCCAGGGCAGTATTTATATTTTCTTGTAAAAATGAATACTGCCTCTTTCAGCATCTTGATTTTATTGCATGCTACACAACAGGTTATATATTGATATTTTAAAGTAACTGTAAAGTACATCTTGTGTCTAGAATAATTTCTTTTAATAAAATTATGTATTTTTAGTAGTTATTTCTCAAGTGAAAAGGTTGTAATTATTAACAATGCAAACTACTGATAATTTTAGTGTAACTGGTGGTTGATTTGCTCTTTTTATTTATTTTCTTGGGCGTCAGTATTACTAAGAAGTGTGAATCCCTGTTTGCTTCAGGGCAAGATGTGTGACAGAGGTGGCATCGAGCTCTTACAGTCCAAGAACGAAAATGGGTGAAGATCACTGGACTGACACCAACCTCACAGGATCTCTTTTAGTGGCCGTGGGCCATGCGTGGTCACATGATTAGGCACAAATAGTGGCATTGGTACGACCTGTTAGAAGGGGAATGATGGAGAGGACCTGACGATAGTTAAAGCTTCCTGAACTCTGCTAATGTGTTGGACATTCCCTTAATTTTGCATTGTTGCATTAAGTGTTCAGCTTTTAACTGAAATGGGATGGGAAGCTATTGGGGTGGTGGAAGAACACTGTCTGCAGATGACAGGGGGAATTTGTATTATTATTAATTCATTATATTTTGCATTTTCTCTTGTCCCACCCCCCTCCCTTTTTTACCTTGACGACTTGAAATGTTTCATCTACGTCCTCACGATGTTCTTCTATAAACCTTGCTTAGGATGAGAACAAATCCTCTCATGCAAACGGACACGAAGAACATAACAAGAAGTAAGTTTTATGTTTAGTTAAAGTGCAGGTTAATGTATTTTCTCTGATTTACTGTAATGTGCATCAAATTAATTTTCCCCTTCTAATCGTAATGTATTTCAGAAAGAGGAGGAGCAGAAGCCGAAGTCCTGGCTCGAGGAAGAAGAGAAGCAGGAGCAGAAGCAAAGATAAAAGGAAGAGTAAGAAGAGAAGCAAGAGCCGAGAAAGAAAACGCAGCCGCAGCAGAGAACGCCATCGCAGCCGCTCACGAAGCAAGGAGCGGTCCGGGCGGTACAAAGGCCGCAAGAGTCCCATGTGAGTGACCTCTTAAACAGATTTTTGCCTGTATTACAGGTGTAGTATTCAGTTCATTTTTGAGGGGAAAAAAATGTCTTGGGCTACGTTCACACTGCAGGCAAAAGCGCATCATATACGACATCTGAATGAATGAACACCAGAATTTTTTTTGTGAATAATTCAGGAAGACCGTGGGAATGAGGAGTAAAATAATTTAGTTTTTTAAACCGTTTCCAGCCCAAAACAGAAGAAAGGTGTGATTCTGATCCTGTGGACACTCTGAAGGCTTTCACATCACAACTCCGCTGCTCCTGGTTCAGAGTGTGACTTGTTTTCTGCGCACGTGGGTCGCTTTGGGGCCGTGAAGGAATCACACTAGAGTCTGATGTCGCATTTCAATCATAATGTAAACAATAAAATCTGTTTCACTCAAAAAATCGGATTTGAGAATCAAGACCTGCAGTGTGAACGTAGCCTTATTGCTGAGGGAGCACCGCGTTACAGTAGAGATGCTGTATTTGTTGCACTTTAGGGAGAAATGCTAATTTATCTTTATTGGTCTCATTTTAGCCGGAAACGTTCCAAAAGTCGCACTCCTGTCAAAAAAGAGAAGAGTCCCGTTAGGTAAGATAGAAGGATTTTTAGTTTTTGCATGAATTGTGAATCCAGCCCTAGTCATAATTCTTCAAACCTCTTTTTAAAATTCAGGCAACCGATCGATAATCTGACACCAGAAGAGCGAGATGCTCGCACCGTTTTCTGTATGCAACTTGCTGCAAGAATCAGAGCCAGAGATCTGGAGGATTTCTTTTCAGCCGTTGGAAAGGTCACTTGATTGTTTTTCACTTATTGATGTTTTTATTTGCCTATAATCTCTTGAATATTGATTTATTTTCCGCTTTCATCCATAGGTCAGAGATGTGCGTATAATTTCTGACAGAAACTCTCGCAGGTCAAAGGGCATTGCCTATATTGAGTTTGTGGAGTCGTCTTCTGTACCGCTGGCAATTGGACTGACGGGTCAAAGGCTCTTAGGAGTGCCAATCATTGTTCAAGCCTCTCAGGTCAGTAACTGAAGTCTAGTGCAACCAGATAACACTTAATGTGATTCAACGTTGGCTTGACATAATTGTCCGTAATGCAGGAGCAAGCAGAAGATGTTTTCCTTTTGGCTGCTGTTGCTCCTTTAAAATCTGGTTGAGGCAGATGAAATGTTCCCTCACTTTTGCTTTCTAATTTGTTTCCAGGCAGAGAAAAACCGAGCAGCAGCTGCAGCAAATAATCTGCAGAAGGGCAGCGCAGGTCCGATGAGGTTGTATGTGGGCTCACTGCACTTCAACATCACCGAAGAAATGCTGCGAGGGATCTTTGAGCCATTTGGAAAGGTTAGACAAAAAGTTTAACACGTTAATTCATGTTCATAGATGTTTTGCACAATTCCTTATACTGATGTTTTCCGTTTTCAAAGATTGAAGGAATCCAGCTCATGATGGACAGTGAAACTGGGAGATCTAAAGGATATGGCTTCATATCTGTAAGTGTAGCTTCTTTATCAGATGGTGATGTGTTCACGCTGTAACCTCTTTATTGTTTAAAGTTTGCAGATGCAGAATGTGCTAAGAAAGCCCTGGAGCAGCTAAATGGCTTTGAGCTGGCTGGAAGGCCCATGAAGGTGGGACACGTCACAGAGCGCTCAGACTCCTCAACCGCCAGCTCATTCCTCGATAACGATGAACTGGAGCGGACTGGCATCGACTTGGGAACTACAGGGCGCCTGCAGCTTATGGCACGACTAGCAGAAGGTTGGTTAACATAAGTTCTACATCTCTTTTTCTCACCCTCTTTAGTTTGCCTGTTTATGAAATTGTCTTGTGACCACTGCTGTGATTTCCTCCATCTACAGGTACTGGCTTGAAGATTCCTCCAGCTGCTCAGCAGGCTCTACAGATGACTGGGTCCATTCCCTTTGGGGGTATAGCTGCTCCAGCAGGTGAGCCCAGATAAGAACTTAGTTTTTTGTTTCTTATCTGTGACAAATCTGCAATTATAATTTTTTTAATTTCCAGTTCCATCTCCAGCTCCAAGCCAAGCTTTGAACCTTCCATCACAGCCTCTGGCCACACACTGCCTTCAACTGTCCAACCTGTTCAACCCACAAGCGTGAGGATATTAAAATCTGTTAATTTCAGGCATTGCAGTAGTAGCCTGGCCAGCCATGCCAATGCTGCCCATTCAAATAACCCCACCCCCTGAGAATTATAACTGAGCCAATCAGCGCTGAGCAGCAAACGTCAAGCACTGCAGCGCTCGGTTTCTCAAACGAAGATGGCGTCTGAAGCAGTTTGCTGCGGCTCTTTCCTCTGTTCTAAATGACTTGGACTTGTCTTTAAAACATAACTTGAATTGCTGAAAGCCTTTTTTTCTAAAATATGTTTGTGCCATTGCCATACGCCATCTTTGTCTACACCTAAAAATATACATCAGTCGTCATTTCCACCTTTTTTCTGATTGGTTATTTTTGTGCTGGCTAGTCCCACCCCCCATGGTGCTCTTTGCCTTTGAGTATCCAGACTCGTCCTCTGTGTAGAATAGAGGCCTGGCAGGCCAGGCTATTGTAGTAGGCGCTCTTCTTTTAGTAGATCACTAGACATTCCTAAACAAGTACATTTCTAATGGTTTCAGTAAACGTTTAGATCTGCAAATAACCCTTCCAGTGATCCATACTATCTGCATGCTTAGCATTGGTAAAGATGGTCTTAATTGTTTAATACATGCTTTTCCTGCTCCTGAATTTCCCTCAGAGAACAAGATCCAAACTGGGCCAATGAAATCCAGGATGATGTGATCGATGAGTGCAACAAGCATGGAGGAGTTGTTCATATCTATGTTGATAAAAACTCTCAAGTAAGTTGAATCAATTGTAGGGTTGGGCATCGATAGGAACTGGGACAGTTTTTCCGAAAATCGTTTTACGTGTTTTGTTTTGATTCCTGCTGACCAGAAGAGGAATTAGCGGCCGATCTGTGAAAAACGTGATCTGCTAATTCTGATCACACCAGCTGTAGTTCACTCCTGCTTCTGAGAGCAGCAACGCTTGCGTCCCCCTCCCTTCCCTCACACAGCACAGCGGCACAGATGCTAAAACGCGTCTGTCGAACTATCTCCGTGATGTAAACTTTAATTCCTGCAGTGAAAAATACGGTGTGGAGGAAGCTCGGTAAAATGCGCCAACACCGTGGATTTAATGAAAGTTTTAAAGAACGAAGTGGGCGGTGTGAGTTTGGCTCACTGCAGGAATAGAAACACACACACGGTGCATCAAGTCAAACGCAGCCACTCGTGTGAGCAAGGCCGTCAAAAGGCAGAAAAAGTAGCCTGTGAAATATGCTACATCAGCCTCTCTGTGGTGGATGACTGACACTGTGTTCTGGCCACTAGAAGCTGATGGGGATCAATAAGTATAATAAAAAATCTCAGCATATGAAGTTGTGGGATTATTTCTTTTTTGAACTATTTAATCTGAGTTTTACTGTTTTAAATCTGTTACTGACAGCAGCTATTGAAGTGTTAGTTTCCCTTCTGACTGAATTGCTGCTGCAGCATGTAGGTGTAGGTTCTCAGCCATCATGGGCATGATCACGAGTTTTAGCTGAAAACAGCTGGACTCTTCTGGTTCACTTAAAGACTCTCCAATCCCAGAGGCTTTTTCAGTTCCCATACTTTAATTGTGGTCAGAAACCAACACGGTGCTGCTAGTCTTTCTTGAAAACATGTTTCTGTTCTAAATGAAGGTGATATTGTTCAGAGGCAAAAACCACAGGTCTTATTTCGAGACCTGTGGTTCACTGGCTCATTGAAAACGTGTTTTTGGCTCCTGCCACTTGAATCAAGTTGGTAATGGATAAACCTGGAATCAGAATTGTTAAAATTCAAACTGTGCTCAACCCTAATCCTTCGAGGCCTTTATATCCAGAGGTTTTGAGGTAGACAAACAGTCCCAACTTTTCATTTAGAAAGATTTTACATCCCAACTCCCTCTTGTTCAAACAGGGTAATGTGTACGTGAAGTGCCCCTCAATCCCAGCAGCGATGGCAACGGTAAATGCACTTCATGGACGCTGGTTTGCAGGTATGTTAAGTAAAACTGATAATTGATGGCTAGATGATGGATTGCTAAATCTGTTTTTTTTCCTCCTTCAGGTAAAATGATTACGGCTGCTTATGTTCCTTTACCAACCTACCACAACCTTTTTCCTGATTCAGTAACAGCAAAGCAGCTTCTAATGCCTTCACGTCGATAGTTACAATTCTCAGTCCATGTAAATACCTTTGTTTGCATTCATGAAAATTTAATTGATGCAAAGTTGCATTGGAAATGAGATGGCTGTGTGTTATTAAAGTGCCCTCATGTTGACCATTGATTTTTTTTCCTCCCTCAAGTTGAATTTAATTTTTGTGGATTTGTTGTAAACCATGACTCAAAGTAATCTGCAGGTATCTATTGGTCTGTATGTTTTTAAATATTACTGTCGTATCTGCTTGTTAAAATCAGCTGTTTTAGATTTGAAAGACAATGCAAAGTTACAAAAATGTTGCTAACAGCCCTCAAATGTTGAAAGTATATAAATGTCAACAGTAATCCTTTGTAACTTTGTACAGCCATTTCCTTTTTGTATGAAGGCTTCAAATAAATCTGGAAAATGTTGCTTTTTTCCCCCATTTGGGAAAGTTTTTTTTTACACCAGGTCAGCATCAGAGCATAATTGTTACTCATCCTAGTAAGTTAAAATAGTTTATTTTTATAAATACTTGCAGCCTATTAGAACTGTATTAGTCCCACATGAGTTTATGGGAGATACATTTGTGACCTCATGAATAATTGAGTGTCCACCTTAAATACTTTCTAGATTTTTCCAATCTTGGATCAGCATAGCAACTACAAAATCAATTTGATGTTTGAAAAGTCTTTAATACTGACGTCTAATCAATTTAACGTGAGAAATAACATTTAAAATCAAGACAATCTGAAGGAAATGACTTCAAAATGATATTGTACTTCATCTGAGGTGGCATTAACTTGTAAATCATTGTTTCCTCTAAGGAAAAATTAAACTAGGAACATCTAGCTTGGGCTTGTAAACCAAAACTCCACAAAAATGCGGAGTTATTTATTAAACATGAATACTTAAGCAAATAATGAAGGAAATGGCTGATTAATTTTGATTCTTACGTATTTCGTGCATTCGATTATATCCTAAAACTACAATTGTTCAACATTTAAAATAAGCCCCAGAAACCAGAATCTGCAGCTAAACTGCTTCAGGACATAAAATCAGATGATTTTTCCACCTTTAGTCTCAAGGGGCTCAGAATCTGCATCTTGTTCAAACAACAACAACACAGTTTATGCTCATACTGGAAACTTTTATGCTCAAACAAAAGGCACTGCAACAACAAAATAGATTTCACTTCAGAAACACTTCACTCCGTATAATCAAGACTTTTTTCTCTAAAGTATTACAATGTAAATTTCTTCCTCCAGAAAAGTAGACACCTGTGGAAAAAAAATGGACATGGTTAAGACTTTAGAGGTTATATATATTTCTAAATAATATTTAATGTTAAACTTCTCACTGAACCAATTTGTGCTCCAGCCTTTGAGCTCTAGGCTTATTTGTTAACATGAAAGAAATTGAGCCAGTCGAGGGCAGATCTTAAACTTCTGGGTTGTTGTTTTTTTTAACTACCATTTTTAGCCTTGATTCAAGAGATAGTCGAAGCCTCAATCAGAACTCATCCTGATTCTCGAAACTAAGATCACAGATCGCCATTTTCTCCAAAAAAACATATGGATTTCTTACCAAAGCTGCTCACTTAGGTGCTGTAATGATTAGTAAACGCGTTACTCACCTTATTTGCAAGCCCTTCACTTCTTTGGAGAACAATCCTTTACCTGGTGAGCTTGCAAGACAGCAATTGCCTCTTCCACCTGACCCGACAGGAACAAAAAAAAATATATATATAAAAAACCTACAACTTTTAGAGACTATTTTAGACTACTGGGAGCACAGTGCAGCTTGCTCTTTTCAAAACATTTGCACAAATATTGTCTAAAAATCCATTATTTTACTATTACATAACTTTAATAAACCAGTTGGGCTTAGGAAATGAGCTTCCAGTACATGAACAGCAGCAGTGACCCAACTATGCATGATTAAGTTTAGAGAGGACTGAGCAAATACACGCCTTAGAGTTCAGGGACTCGGGTGACTCCAGCATGTGCAGCAGCTCTGAATTGTCTATCTCCAGCAGCATCCCAGTGATTTTTCCTGCCAGGTTTGGGTGAAGGGCATGAATCATCGGGTACAGCCTCTCCCCTGTGTGTTACAGCAAACAGACAAGTGAGTGCAAATTAACATAAGTTGTTCCACTCTACTAAAAATAATAAAAGCAAAATGAAGGTATATACCAAGAAGCTGCTTCTGATCCATGACTGGGGCTGCAGCCAGCATTGAGGCAGTGAGAGGCTCGGATGCTGGGACGTGGGCTGGTGGCTCCACCACAGGTGTAGGAACAATCTGAGAACATTGAATCCTGTTTAATATAAATTCTGCCTCCACCTGTATTTGACACAATGTTGGACAACATTGCACTTAAAAAATCTTTACTTCAGACCTGCCAACCTTGTCAAATTTTTGAGCACCACATGCATTGCTTTCCATGCTGTGATTTCCCCTTCACTGGCTGGAAACATCTCGTATTTTCTAAAGTATCATGTGTTTTAATCAACAGTTAAACTCAAAAGTTGTAGTTGCTTACCTTATATGTTTGCTATACAACCCTACACACGCTGATAGCCACAAGTTACTTGCAATGAATTATTTCAAAACCTAAATTAATCAAAAATCATGAAGACATTTATTTTAATTTTTATTTATGTGTTTATTTTGTATTTTGCAACAGGTGGTTCGGTTTTCAACAATTTAACATTTAATTGTCTTAAAAGCACATATGCACATACCACCGGGGCTAACTTATACATTACCTGCAGCTCCCTGGTGGCTTATGTCCACATCATAACTGCAGATTAGGCAAAATGCATGGTGAGGTAGATTAGAGGGTCACAAGCATGGCCACAATTTTTAAATTAGATTTTTTTTCTCAATTATTTGGCCAAAACTTTTGTTTATTCTTTCTGCCTGTTTTGTACAAGGCTGAATTGGTTCCCTTTCTATTTTCTAATGTGGAAAGGTCAACTCCACCTAATTTTCCCACTTCCTGCATCTTTAATCTGCTCTAGTCATAAAACGTTTTATTTCATGGGTGACCAACAAATTCTTGAAGTAAACGTAGCCTACTCTTTATAAACCTGTAGTACTGAAAAAGCATGTTGCTATCATGACATGCCAAACCCACATTTCATCCCTGAAGAAAGTTGCCTTCTTTGGACTTTCACTAATCCACTAAAGGTTTCACAGCTTACCAACTATCTTTCATGGATTTTACTGTTAATGTAGGATAATCTAGTTCAGGTTTGAAGAGTCTAAGTGTTGTAGTTTAGAGCTGGACCAGATCTAAGGTGGACCAGATGAAACTTGTGTATTTTTACAACTGTAACAAATCAAATAAAGGTTTCACAAACTATGATTTAAGGACTCTATTAGTTTTAAATAATCTAGTTAAGGTCTGCAGAGTCTAGGTGTTGATTTTGAGCTGAGCCAGTTCTAATGGTAATTTTTTACTTTTGTAATCATTTAATCTCTTGTGATTGTTAAAAAATAAATAAACAAATACATATTCACATTGATAGTCAGCTCTGATGTGATCCATAAGTAGGATTGGTACACAAAATAACTACAACAACTGAATTAGCTGCAGTAGCTAGGTTTTAACGCACGGAGGCTGCAGTTCTGTTGTGTGTGAGCAGAGCGAATCGCAGAGCGAGCTTGTAATGAGCATTGCTCTGCCAGTGCGGAGCGGTAGAAACGGGTTTGAACAACAGAACCGACCAGAATACTGACTGGTCGAATATAGAATACCGATTTGCAGCAGGAGAGGGAAGGAGAGAGGGCTAAAGGTTGGTTTATGCTCGACGCGTCCGCGAGGTCCACATGGCTCCACGCGGAAACGTTGCGTCATTTTAACTACCACGCCTCCGCACGGCCCAAAATTCCCGCAACGCGCACCTAGGAAATTTTCTAACCACGTGGACGGTCGGACGCGGAAAAACATGGTGGACTGGCAAGAAGTAGTATGGCAGAGGTTCGTAAATACAGACGTTTGTATGATTCAGCTCTCAGAGATCACCGTGATCAACATGTTGTTAATTCTTGGAGAGAAATAGCTCGCACTGTCGGAAAAGACGAGGACGCTGTTAAAAATGCTGGAATGCTGTAATTTTTACTTCTACTATGGTGTAGTGTTGGATGCATGCTGTAGAGCTCCATGCTGCCCCGTTCAGTTTGGGAGAATATTGGCTCACCGCAGAGACGAGCCGCACGAACCATAAACGCTACGAGTTGTGAAGCGCGTTCCAGCCGCGAGCCGCATCACCGCGCGGAAAGTAAATGCATCAAGCATAAACCAAGCTTTACACAGCGAGAAACATGGAGGGAGTGGACTGATAGTGAAGTTTTGGAGTAAACTGCGGTAAAGCGTGGGTGTTTTAACCACCTCATTAGAAAAAGAGTGTGTGCTAAAACATCCACATCCCCCATGGGTGTGACGCCCATACCAGAGGATGGAGAGAGAGGCAGTGGGCAGGACGTAGGATGGAGCAGGGAGGAAGGGGTGTTACGCTATAGGTTAGGCAGAATTTGCTTTTCTACGACGATTGGCTTAAAATTCTTCACCACGCTGCTGAGTTGTGTTGTCAGACAGGAGTACCAGATGTGCACACTTGCTACAGAATTCACGTGTCCACAGCTTTTTGCTTAGTTTAGAGGGGTAAGTCGTACCAGCGTAATTAGATGCCAAATTGCGTACAGGTTGGCAGTTCTGCTACTTAAATCTCCCTCTTATATTTAGTTTGCACCTGAATGTAGACCACGTGACAATTTCTACCAGTTTTCATCTTCCGTTCATCATCAAGCCAATAATCTTCCCACACCTGTTTGATTGTCAGATTAACTAGCTCAAGAGTAATGTCCAGTGGACAATACCTGTGATCTTGTCATAGGTGCAGGCACAGCAACGACATGTAGAGGGTTCCTCACGCCAGATGAATACTTGTACTGACCGCCTCTGGGAACACCTGCCATGTCTGTGCGCCCTCCTACAGTCTGCGTCCCAATGTTATCTGGAGAAAGACGTCACAACAGATCAGCCAGTAGAAACCAGACGAATGAGAATTTTATGAAGAATGGAGTTAGGCTACTTGTCTTTTGGGTGGAGGACATAATGCGTGGTGCCTGGGTGGAAGCTTGTCTGACTGTAGTAATGGTTGTTGATCCACGGCGAGACAGAGAACCTCCAATAAATTGAGAAGAGTAAGGACCTGGAAATGTGAAGACACTTTAGCTTTACACAGTGCATTGCCACAACACGTCTTCACATCTTAAAGAGTAAATAACAGATTCACCCTGAGGTCTGGGATGTGGGTATCCCGTCCAACGAGGAACAGGTCTCACGCTGCTGACAGCACTGTGGTTGTACAAGGAGCGAGTGGGAAGCTGCGACACGTGCAAAATGTTAACAAGGTTACTTTTTATATTTATCAGTGTATATTTACCACCAATAAAAGGACAAATATTTTGAGGAATAACTGATATGAGAATTTCTTTTTGTTTGATGCTAGGTTTGCTTTTAAAAGGATTTTCGTGAAATGCTCTAAAAGAGAAACCGTGAATTTAGAAATGTCAAAATCTCAAAACTGCAAAAGTAATGTGTCAGAACACAAATCAGTAAAAATATGTAAGTAATGATGCGCTGAATTCCCTCAAGCAGGCTATTATATACTGGTACCTGTGGTACAGCCATGTAGTATCCGGACTGGTGGTATGAATCAACGATGGGACTGGCCATGGTTCTCAGGGTAGCAAGTCTCTGCATATACTTGTTGGTGAGGATGGCTTTCCGCTCCTCCCTCCGCTGTGCCAGAGCAACATACAGAGGCTTGGTCGCAACAATTCTCCCGTTCATTTCAGTCACCGCTTTTGTTGCTTCCTCAGGAGAAGAAAAACACACAAATCCAAAGCCTTTGCTTTGGCCTGCGTCAGTCATCACCTACAGGAAACAAAGATCCTTCAATAATTTTATGTCAGAAAAATAAAGGAGAATTTATGGAAATAATCAAAGCAAACCAAATTTATTTACATAGCGCATTTAAAAACAGCATGACAGCTGACCAAAGTGCTTCACAAAAGAGCATAAATGCTCCGTAAATGTATGACAAACAATGATCATTTGAATGCGAGGATCCCAAGATGAAATACATGTAAAAATATAAAAGATAACTAAACAATGTGTAAACACAACAGTGTCAAAATAATAGTGATGCAACGGATCAAAAATCTCATGGATCGGATCAGAAAGAAAAAGTAAAGAAAAACAAATAATTTTGCTCTCTTTATTCTGTAGAACACTTAGTGCAACATTTTCATTTTCTGCTCAATTTGCAACTTGCTGTACAAGCAGGAGTTAGAGAGAGGACCGATTGCTGATTAAATGTTAAAATGGCTTGCCCAATAAAGACATGCTCTTGTGTTTAGCTTTCACTCATCTCCTCACCTTTCTGTTGCACTGTTTATTATTTCCTTTTACAGATTTGTTCCCAACAACATTTACAGGTCCCGCCACATTTATGTTCTATCCAAGGCATGTTTCACGCACCACCACCACCTCCCTCCTTTCACAGCTATCAGAGGTGTGTGTGTGCGGCGCTGCGCTGTCAGACTGGAGGTGCGTTTGCGGGGTGAATGACACTTGCCCAATTTACTCTGTCTATGTAATGCCGGCAATGGATGCTCCAACAAGCTGGATCCGGTCTTTGCAGACGCAGGACCTGAATGGAATAAGGTTGGGGATCGCAGGGAGACGAGTTCAGAAGCTGACAAGGAGAGCTGTTCCGAGTGAGTTGCACCCAGCTTGAAGCTTGACACGGACGCCCCTCCGCTTGCCATGTTGCTAAGCCACAAAAAATAATGGTCTATTTTTTTACCCAACACATTTCCCGATTATCTCAGTAGTCCAGATTGTTGCTTAGAAGTCATCCACCTGCTCCGTCTGCCGCTCTGAGCTCCTCCATCACTCCACCCCTCCGATTCGTTCCTCAACCCGCCACACTGCTTTGTCTTCTCTGACCGGCTTGTGTGCGAGCGAGCTCGGTCCAACTTTCTAAACTAATCTAAAGAAATCTGGCCCAGCCTGGATTCGAACGTGGGTCCCCTGCGTGTAAGTCGGGTGCCTTACTAGTGTCCCTGTCCTCTGTTCCAACAGCTCTGCCCACAACCCAGAGGCAAATTTTTCATGAGCTACTGCCACTATGAACAAACGAAGTACTAGAAAACGGCAGTTTTGTGATTTTGGCCAAAAACAGCATAATCATAGTTTAAAGACCACTGAGAAAAGCCAAAAAAATATTAGAGTGGGACTGCATATTTTTACTCCAATTATAATTCACAAAAGTTTGCAAATTAGTTTTAAGAGCGTCCCCCTCCACCACCACCATGTATTTAAAAAGCACAATCCTGTGACTTTGCCATCTCTTTAGGACCTATTTGACAGAATTAGTACATAAATTACCTTTGCACTCGTGATTGTTCCATAAGGGGAAAACTCCTTCCGGAGTCTCTCATCATCTATGCTATCATCCAAGTTCTTCACATACAGATTCACCCCCTAAAATCAAAAGAAACATTAAAACAACTCAGCTTTTTGCTTACCTGCATTAAGGTGGTCTAAGCTTTGAGGAATTCACAAGTCAGACCAAGAAATTCTCAATTGCCTGATTATCAGAAATTTTCAAGCAGTTGATTGTAATGACATCTTTAGGACAAACAAGCTACATCTGGAAGGCTGTTGAGTGATGCAAAGATGGTCCCAAGCTGAAGATATTTATCTAAAGAGGTTTTTATTTATTAATATTTTTTACTTATTTTTGAAAATGAATGGTCACCGAGTTTACCGTGCAGCCTCAACGTGAAAATTGTGATCTGTTACCTCTATTAGCTCAGCAAGTAGAAGCCAACAGTTAGCATTAACTCCACCACACAGCAGAACTCCTTCAGAACATAAAGCATCAACGGTGCAAAGTAAACTTGGTCATTGGTAGTTGAGTTGCTATTATCCAATCAAAGATGAGATGTCCAATTTTCAGGAAATAAGACTAAATCCTGCTGTCTGACGCCAGGATCACATCAGCCGCGAAGCGGATCGCTCACAAAATTTGCACGCTGCCTGCAATTAATCAGGCAATTACTTTTGATGGGCACTTATGCTCACGCCTACTGTTTCCCAAACCCCCTCACCCCACCCCCGTGCCCTTGCTCTCTGTGTGTGTGTGTGTGTGTGCGTGCGTGTGCGTGTGCGTGTGCGTGTGTGTGTGTGTGTGTGTGTGTGTGTGTGTGTGTGTGTGTGTGTAACCAGTTTGCCCTGCTTGTTGATATCGGTAACTAGGGTTGTCACAGTGTGAAAATTTAACCTCACGGTTATTGTGACCAAAATTACCACGGTTTTCGGTATTATCGCGGTTTTTTTTAAACGTGCTACATTTTCACACAATTAAATAAACCCTGTATGTCAGGAAATATTGTCCTCAGTTTGTTTCTAAATTTAGCCTAAAATGTGTTATTTTGTAATTATGTTGTTTATTTGTTTACATTTTTTCCCTTTAGTCTTTAAAATACCAATATTTGCCCATAACTTCTTATTTTTTGTCTGTTTGATGTCATCATTTAAAAATATTAGATCACATGATACTCAGTACTCAAGTAGCCTTCTAATCAGATACTTTTTTACCCTTACTTGAATAATAAACCCTATATCAGGGAAATATTGTCCTTGGTTTGTGTCCTTCCAGTGAGCTTTGCAGATTTGGGAAAATGTCATACATTTATAATTATTCTCGGAGAGAGACCAACTCTTATCTGCCCCTGGGAGCCCCGTAATGCATAGCATCATTTCAACATGGGTCCAGAACCTGATAGCGCTGGATGCGGTCCTGTTTGATCTGGTCAAACTTGCGCTTCAGCTCGCCCTGACGCTCCAGACGCTTCTGAGCCCGGCCAACGTAGATGATTTTGCCACTGATCTCCTTTCCATTCATTCCCTCAACAGCCTGAAAAACAAAAGTGAAGTATGTAAAAACATCCCATAATTATGACCTTTTCTAACTCGCTGCACCAAACTCACACCTTACAACTTAAGCATTTATTTCAGTTTTAGTCAAGAAAAATCTAGTTCAGTATTATAACTCAGATTAAGGTGTGTTTAACTTTCATAACTGGAATTTTAGAGGTGTCAGAATTATATGTCAAACACTTTTGTGAGAAGACCAATACATGACACATTTTACCTTCTGAGCATCTTCATGATGTGCATAGTTGACAAAACCAAATCCTCGAGATCGACTCTTTTCGTCCTTCATCACCCGAACACTGAGAGTCCTCCCTGAGAGCTCAAACAAGTCCATAATTGATGTGGCAATAACTACCCGCCATCGGTCAAGCTAACACATTCATCAAAACGAGGCCAGTTTTCTTACCAAAAGCAGAAAACATCTCCTTCAGCTTCTCGTCAGTAAGATCTTCCCCAAAGTTTTTGATGTACACATTGGTGAACTTTACCACTTTGGTCCCAAACTCCACCTCTCTTTCTTTGCGTGACTTAAAGTGGCCAACAAAGCTGGAAACAGAACCAAGATAACCCATGGAACAGAGAACACCATTTAAGAGATAAAAAGAAAAATCTGTTATAAACTTAACCAAAACTGTGGAAAAAAATGCAGATTATTTTCTTTTCCTTTTAGCAAGGCAAACATTGTGGCTTTAAAAGCAGTTTTTTCTTCCCAAACAACAGCAGAAAGATGATTCTCTGTGGGAGACATAAGTGTGCAGTGTGGTCTCCAAAAACAAGGAGACAATATCTGATGACAGTAACACTTCAATATTGGACATCCACAGCCCATTACCTACACGGACTTGAACGCTTCATTTTTTGAGACATGCTGCTTAGTGACCCTAACCCTAACACACACACACACACGTTGCATTTTAGGTTCACATCCAGGTAACTGCTCACATCCACACTGGCTGGAGGGCAAGAACCCCATCTCCAGTCATTACCCAGAGCTGTACCTATGTGATTTAAGTTAACAAAATAAAACCTAGGGATTTAGCGATTACTACTTTAGATAATCTAACACATCTTTGTGAACAAAAAATAAATAAATTAAAAAACATCTCAAAGCAAAAAGTGTTTAGCACAAAGCTTCCAGATGCATTTGAAATAGCTAGCAAGCTGCGAGTTGACAATTCTCAGGACCGGCCGCCTGGACTTCTCACAGCTGAACCGATGAAGCTGAACAGTACTGGAAGGGCATTTGGGAGGAGACATGCAGACACACAACTGCAACACAAATTGGCTACCCTCTTTAAGACCACAGCAACCTCCCTGAGCAGAACCCAGTATCCATCACTGTGGCAGACATCCAGGGAAAAGTCTCAGGTATGAAAAACTGGACAGCACCGGGACCCAACATGATCCACGCCTACTGTCTTAAGATGCTCACAGCACTATGAGCGCCTGGCAGCACAGACGAACCAGCTGCTAAAGGATGGGACTCACCCTGAATAGCCATCAAGGCAGTACTGAAGTACGCAAAATCCTAATCAGTTCTGACCTCTCCAAGAGTACAGTTTCTTCCAACTATCGGCCAATAACCAGTCTCTCCACAACATGGAAGCTCATGTCAGGCATCAAAGTGACTAAAATAAGTGGGAACATGGGTCAAAACATGAGCGCAGCACAGATATTTATCTTAAGAGGCAGAGATACTAGAAGAGCCAAACAACAGCTGCTGATAGACCGAACAGTCACCCAAGACTGCAAAACCTGACGCACCAACCTGTGTACGACATGGATTGATTACAAGAACACCTATGACTCAATGCCACACTCATGGATCACTGAATGCTTGGAGCTGTATAACATCAACAGGGCTCAGAGAGCCTTGACTGCAAACTCAATGGGGCTGTGGAAAACCATCCTTGAGGCCAACAGCAAATTCTCCATCAAATGTGGCATATACCAACGAGACGACCTGTCCCTGCTGCGGTTCCTTATAGGTCTGAACCCCCTCAGCCAAATAATCAATAAGACTGGCTATGGATACAGACTGAAGAATGGAACCACAAACAGCTACCTCCTCTACATGGATGACGTAAAGCTGTACGCCAAGAGCGAGACATCGACTCACCGATCCACACAACCATGATCTACAGCACTGATATCGGAATGTCATTCGGACTTGAGAAGTGTGGTCAGACTGACAATTAAAGGGAAGGTAGTCCACACAGAAGGGGTCTCACTCCCAGAAGGAACAGCAGACATTGAGGACAGCTACTTTCTTAGGTTCTCAGTGAATGTCTCAGACAATGGTGAACAGAGAAGGAGATGCTGGAAATACCATTGTGGGAGGACAAACCCCTTAATGGGATGTACCACAAACAGATATATGAAGTGGCTGATATCAAGAAATCCTACAAATTGCTAGAAAGAGCTGGTCTGACTGACAGCATTGAGGGACTCACCATGGCTGCACAGAAACAGGCCCTAAACACCAGAGCAACGTAGGCCAAGATCTACCACACCAGACAAGACCCAAGGTGTAGGCTATGCAAAGAGCCCCCTGAGACCTTCCACTACATAACTGCAGGGTTTAAGAAGCTGGCAGGGAAAGCATTCATGGAAGACCACAACCAAGTAGCTGGCATTGTGTACAGAAACATGTGTGCAGAGTATGGACTGGAAGTAGGTATGGGTACCGAATTCAGTACTTTTTAAGGTACCGACCGAATTCCATAGTACCGACTGAGCACCGTTTCACGTCATTTTAAACGGTGCCTCGTTTCGGTACCCGTCCTTCATAACGAGAACTTGCCAAGACAGCTGCGCATGCGCAAGAGTATTATGTCGTTGGTCGCTGCGAGCCAGTTGTAAACAGAACAGCATGGTAGAAAGAACGCATGCTAAAGCTTGGGTCCACTTCACTAAATGTGATGGGTAACTGGGTGATGATGAAACCAGCGACAACGATCTAGGTGAGGCATCCTCATCTTAATCTGCTCCGGTTGGTTAATAAAATGTTTAAGATAACGTTAGCTTGATATGTTAGCTTCTGTTTCGCTAATGGTGCGTTCGCTTTCTCCTCGGAACTCCGAATTTCTGACTAGAAGAACATGAACGCGCTCTAAAGTTTGGCTTCACTTTACTAAATGTGACGGGTGATTGGGTGAAGATGAAACCAGTGACAACAATCTAAGTGTGAGGCATCATCATTTTAATCTGCTCCAGCAGTTAAATAAACTGTTTCAGATAATGTTAGCTTCCATTGCAACCATTGTTATCAGCTTTCTCCTCGGAAATTCTAACTTCCCAGTAGGAAAAATCAAATGAAAAAGGATGGAAAAAGGAATTAAGATACACAGTAAATTTAGTTCACAGTAAAGATGTTTGCTTCAGTTTAATTATCAGCTTATAAAACTACAAGGACGATGTTAAAATACAAACAGTTGTATGTTATTTATCGTGATATTTATCAAATATGTTTACATATTGAAAAAAATATATATTTAATTATAAAAGAGAATTAAAATATTAAACACTCAAAAGTATCGAAAATTGGTATCGTTAAGTACCAGTATCGATTCCTAGGTACCGGGAATTAGTACCGAATCGATTCAAATGTCAAAGGTTCTCATCCCTAAGCCCCAAGGTCAAAGTGAGTAACACCCCCTATGGTGGTTGAGAACGAGAGAGCCAAGCTCCTGTGGGACTTCCAGATCCAGACTGACAAAATGGTGATAGAGAACAAACCAGACATTGTGGTGGTGGACAAACAACAGAGGACAGTCGTTGTGGTTAATGTGGCAATACCAAGTGACGACAACATCAGGAACAAGGAACATAAGAAACTATAAAAGTACCAGGGCCTCAAAGAAGAACTTGAGAAAGCCCAAAGAGTGAAGACATCAGTGGTGCCCGTGGTCATCGGGACGCTTGGCAGTGACCCCCAAACTGGAAGAGTGTATAAAGCAGATCCCAGGAAAAACAGACATCTCAGTCCATAAAAGTGCAGTTCTAGGTAAAGCTTTTTGCGAAATACGCAGTTTTGCGCCTTCGGCGCACAAACAGCAAGCTGATATTTGCCAGTTATATATATATATATATATATCTCTCATACATATATATATATATATATATATATCTCATATATATATATATATATATATCTATATGAGATATATATATATATATATCTATATGAGATATATATATATATATATATATCACACATATATATATATATATCACACATATATATATATATATCACACATATCTATCTATCTATCTATCTATCTATCTATCGAGAGAGAGAGAGAGAGAGAGAGAGAGAGAGAGAGAGAGAGAGAGAGAGAGAGAGAGAGAGAGAGATATATCTATATATGGATATATAGATATAAATATATAAAGTGTCTCACTATATATACACTATTTGCAGAGTGATGTTTTGCTGCTTATACTCTGTTTAAGGTGCATTTTTGTCATAAGCTGTAATACCATATGTTTTGTTCTGTACTTTTGAACAACTCTGTTGGTCAATAAAGGGAGAAAACAAATTTCTCCACAGTAGGACAAAGGTACATCTAATCTTAATAAAAACAGATTGGCGCACGGCAGTGACGTCATTAAAAGCGCCGGTTAGATTAGCCGCGGCTGGTCTATTTTCGCCTAGAAATCCCAGACCCGCTCCAAACGAACAGGGGAATCATGTTGATTCCTAACAAAACCTTTCGACATTGAGATGTTTTGGTGCAGATAATGTCTTATTTCGAGGCTCGCACCATGGGTGCCTGTCCGCACCTGTTATATGGATATACACTGATGGCGATTCGCAGATGGATCTAAATACCCCGGGGAATCCAAGTAGCACCAAAGTTGTCAGCGTGAGTAAACAAACGTACTGCATGCTAGAAATTAAGTCCAGGTTGCAATAAACGGGAGTTTTCCTTTAAGCATATAAGCGTGAATATACAACTACGTGTCGGACTTTGTATGCTAATTAAGTTGGGCTGTGAAGCGCCTCCTAAATTCGTGTCGGTGTACTTGAAGAAGGCTGTGTATATGTGAGACTCCATAATATCGATACCACAGGGACGGAATATCTAATTTAGATACCATTTAGATATTTTGACAACACACACACACACACACACACACACACACACACACATTTATTTATTATAGGCAAATATCATTTATCAGCCATTACAGCAATATTTATATTTTTATCAGCCTAAAATTTTTCATATCGGTGCATCACCATACACAAGTGTGCATATTGCCGAATTGGGACAGTGACCGTTGCGTCACCAACCACAACGCATGCCAGGATGCCAATCGCTGTTTGTGCTTTCTCTTTTTAAATCAGCTGACCAAATTGCCGAAGCACACCCACATCACCCCGCTTCTTTTCCCGCTTCACTTGCTGCTGGTCAACTTCGGGGTTCACTTCAAGAACTTATGGTTTATAGGGCCTGACATGGACAAGTACAGGGTTTCCCTTACATAGGCGTAGCCGTGGCGGCCCGCCACGGCTGAAATCCTGCCGCCACGCCTACAAGATCCCAAGTTTTTTTGTTTTTGTTGGCGCCGTTTCCCGAAGAAGCAGCGGGAACTACTATGATGTCACTTGTGATCACAGCCGGCGGGCAGAAAGGAGGAGCAGGCAGGGCAAGGTGAAGTTACAGCATAAGTTACTGAGTTTAAAATTAGAAAGGTAGCAGTGGATATAATGCTTTGTGGTTTACATGTTTCAATAGCATTAAGATAAACGAGTGTTGACGATCTTGACAGGGTTTCCTCCAGTGCTTATTAGGCCAGATTTTCCTCCCCCCACCAGGCTAAGCATCACTTATTCAAGTAAAATGCATTTATTTAGTCATGTCTGACTTTAACCGCATCTAATACTGTATTACGATGTGTGCGCAACAGCAACAACTTAAGATCGATGTGTGTGCAGCCTGAGAGGTCGGGTGTTTTCATCGGAACCCTTAAAACCTCCAGCCGGCTACGCTGCACTATTGACGCGTTAGCGCGTGGCGCTAACAACTTCGCGACGTGACATGTCTCAGAGAAAGCGTAAAAACACGTTGGACGCTTCTTCTGAAGCGGGAAAATAACACTTCTTCTTAAGCAGAGCACGATGTCGCCTCGGCTCGTTCACCCTCTGCCGAGCCGGACTGAGCTCGATAACATTGACCCAGCACAGCCACTGGGTCGTTGGAGCTGCCCCGTGACTGCCTGATGGAAAACCAGCGGGTTTCATCAGACTCGTAAAGTTCTTGTTTTTGCTTGATTCTGTAAATTCCGTGTATCAATAGAAACAAACTCTGCCTCTGCCAGCTGCAGTAAATGTAGTCTCCAAATAATAAATAAGAGGTGCATTCATCTGTGTATCTCCTTTGATCTGCATTAGTGATATTTTCAGCACCAGAACAGTGAAGCAAAGAAACAGATTCCTGAGTTTGTTAGTGATTTTATTTATTAGGTGCATCTAACCTGTTCTATTTTTCTCTGAAATGAGATCAAATCAGTGCTTCTATGGGTTGGCTTCACTCTGCACTAGAAAATTTTACTTTATTTAGGGGCGTGTCATAATAGGATTTCGTGTAACTTTTGTGCGACCCATTGATTCTTCCTCACCAGCTTCTCCTCATGCTGGCATTCTGCTACCAATTCTGTATCAGGATTTCAGGATTACCTTTTTGTTATTCTTTTTCCCCCCCAATTTTTATCACAATGCAAAATATTTTGTTCTTGTGAAGCCCTTTGTGATTTTTATTTTGAGAGGCGCTATATAGCAAATGTGGTTTTACCTAAACAAAACTAAAGTAGTTGAAAGCTTACTCACACTTTTCTGTCATTCAGAAGCATCCCATTCATTGTTTCGATGGCACGATTTGCAGCCTCCTGAGTTTCGAAGTGAACAAAGCCATAACCTTTGGATCCCTTCTCATCACACACAACCTGCAGTGGAAGACACTTTAAATATTCCCATCATCACAGATAACTCAAGAGTGAAACACCGACTTACCTTGCATGACAAGATATTACCAAAAGCTGAAAAGGTATCGTACAGTGCCTTGTTGTCAATTGACTCGTCCATGTTCTTGATAAAGATGTTACCCACACCAGACTTTCTCAGTGCTGGGTCGCGCTGAGACCACATTATCCGAATTGGTCGACCTTTGATGACATCATAGTTCATTGTATCCAGAGCACACTCGGCTAAAACAAAAATAAAAATTTTCAAATGAAGAACACTATATGGGCTGCTTTTCTAGCATTTTAGACAACTTTAACTATTTTACACAGATTCACTCACATCCTGATCCTCAGACTGAGGGCTACATTGTTTTAGTGTCCTGTCCATGGGCCTTTCAATATATGGTGGTGAAAGCTGCCAACTCCACTAATTAAGAACCAGAACTTTGACAGATTTGATTCCTGCATTTGTTGAAAACGCAAAATCAAGTCTAAATGTATTCACTGGGCTTGAGATAAAGTAAACCCATCAGGAGACGATCATAATTTAAAAAGGTTCAGGTTTTCATTGTCAACATGAACCTAGTTATCTTGAATTTATTTGCACCTTTTCAAATTTGGCACCAATCTGCTTCCATGTCTTAAAAAGCAGTCCTGTGCATTAGTCCTAATTAATGCCCAATTTCTTCAGATTTCATTTTCAAAAAGGCAGAGTTATGTTTTGAATTTGTCTTTAGTTTATTAGGTTTTCTATTGGTCCTAAGTTTTTTTTTTACTTCAGCTAACCCTGGATTTTCAATTGTGTGCCTTGTTGTGATAGGATTGGATTTTTTTTCTAAGCCACTTAACTTTTACCTTTAAACCAATTAGGAACGTCAACAGATAGACAACCTGATAATTTTTTTAATCAAGCTGCATGTCCTATACACAATTTGTTCCTGTTACTTTTTTAAATTCCATAAAAATTTGACACATAAAATAGTATTTCTGTGGCAACAAGGCAATTCTCAACAAGTTCTTAAATGGAAATTTAGTCAAGATGTTTCAGGTCTTTACTGGGACTTTCCTAAAGATATCACTTTTAGACTATGCCTATATATATATATTTTTTTTTTTTTAAAGATCATCCTCCACTTGTTCTCCGATTTTGAACGAGCACAGCACAACGTGGTCATAATACAAGAATTTGACAGAAAATGGATTAAAAGTAAAAAAAATGCAGCCAGAGTCCAAAGAGGTACTTTCAAATACCTTTAAAAAATTAACAAGACCACTTTAAAATATCACTGGCTCCTTAAAAGTAAAAAGAGGGACAGTTTAAAGCTTGTGCATAAGATGCTAATCCTGTTGCAATGATTTCACTACACATACACACAAAAATATGTACATAGATATATCCTATCATCTAGCACACAAACACACTATTTTATTGTCGACCATGATCTGCTAAGTTAAAATACCATGAAATCTTTATTTACTAAGCATAAAGCAGATGCAAATGAGTTGCTGTACCATCAGCTGGTTGCTGAAAGTTGATGTAGGCATATCCCAGGGATCTGCGGGTGATGATATCCCGACACACACGGATCGACATGATGGGTCCAGCAGGAGAAAACTTCTGATAAAGCATGGCCTCTGTAACATCAGGGTGTAGGTCCCCAACATACAAAGAGGCGAGAGGATACGCTGGTCCAGTGCCATTCATCTTGTGCAACAGCAACTTCAACAAAGAAGTAATCATTAAAAGAAAAAAAAGTTTAATTTAGTGTATTTTTTTCATCTATATCTGCACATATTATAATTGTGAATATTGTTTGGTTTTAGGTAGTAATTTTGGTGGGTTCTTCCCAATGCCACTCATCCATGCTGCAACCCAATATTAACCCAATATTTTGCAGTTGTATCTAGATTATTAGGGATACTTTGAATGAGAGGAAAACAGAAATACACAACCTGGTTCGACTAGACCTGTTTCTCTATAGCTTCATGAAAAGTGTGTATTTAAATATTTTATGCTTGTCAGATTATAACTGGATTAGTATACATACACTCTGGCATTTTTACCCATCTACTGGTTCGTATCTGCGGATGTTCAATGAAATAAAAATTTTGATTTGAAACATTTTCTTTAAGAAAAAATGTAAGATTGAAATGTAGATTTCAAAAGTAATATCTATAATGTTTACATGTTCAAATTAAAAATTATATAAAGTAAAAACCATCACAAAAACCCAAAAGTTTGAACAATAATGCAGCTTTTAAATCGCACTTCTATTCTGGCTCATTCTAACAATTAGCAACTTTGAGACACAAGATGAGTAGAAAAAACATAAGATGAGTAGAAAAAACATAAGTTTAAATAGCTTCAAGCTATCTGAGAAGTATAAACCGATGTAGCCTGCTCAGTCTTAACACGATGACTAGCACACATGGACTAGCGGTTTTCGCTAAAACGTTAGTTAAACGACCACGCAAATTTAGCCATCTTCACATAAAAAAAACGAGAAAGTAGATAAAAGACGCTGAAAATCACATGTAGCTACGTGAAAGTCTAAAAATAACTAAATTAACTTACATTTACTGTGAAAGCGTGGGTCTTTTCAGTGCAGTAGCTTGCGAGCACAATTCTCAGCAGCCTACGCGTTAGCTATAATTAGCACGGGGAAACACCTGCGCGCGCCAACGCGTAACGCTTTCAATTAAACTGCGCGAAGGCACAGGCCAAAATCACCTTCTACTCCGCGATAAAAAGTAGTTCCGTACGTAAAGGAGAAAATGCCGCGTAGTGTTGCAGTGGTGAGCCAGATTAATAATTCTACATTTTCACTATTATATACAGGAATTCATTGTGAACAGAAATGAAGACGTAATTTACTTATCTTAAACGAAACTTTATTTCACTGAATGGTCTTTGACACGTTCCTATTTCTTACATGTATAGTGAAACTAGAATGGTTTTAAGATACATAAACACAAAGCTAGAATTACACCAACCGTTGTTTTTCTCCTTGTCACTGCTTTTATAGCTATTCTAAATTTTCACAACCACGTGTGTGCACTGGGTAATAGACTGTTACAGAAGCAAATTTTAGCCATAAGACTTGTCAGTAAAAACAAAGCAAGTAAATACCTGATATACAGACAGGCTTCGTTCCACATTCACTAACTGTATTTTCATCAAGCATAATGAACTTTTTACTTTTTTACCCCACCCAACAAAAAAAAAAAAGATTTCAATTCATTGGAGTATTGTCAGAGTAAACAGACCGCCAGCTATAACGTGGAATGGTGTCTTCAACTACAGTAATGTGGAATGTAGTGGTGATACATGGTATTGTGACACTGAGCTTCTTTTCACCTAGAGACCTGATTTCTGTGGCAATCATTCTCACCAGCCATCCTTGATCAGCAAAGTGATTCACCTGGTTGAAAACAGAGGTCAAGATGTCATGTTTGTGTCCAACTCATTCTAAGAGATTTCAAACAAGCAGATGCTGCTATCAAAAGAATAAAAGCAAGAGAAAGCCAGGCACAACTTTTTTTTTGGGAGAAAACAACCGTTTTAAGAGGATTATTTTGCAAGCAGGGTTGATACAGTGTGGCAAGACATTATCAATTAACATCAATAAAAGGTTACTTTAGGTTTCACATACAGATGATAGTCAATCTTGCAAAATACATGGAACCACATTTACGCATACAATTTTCATTGTACTGAGATCAAGCAGCACCAGAACAGTGAGAAAACTACAAAGACAATCTATACTTAGCTTTAAAAAACAAAACAAGCACTGTTGTTTCCAAAAGCCTAATGGAATGTCTGAACAAATCTAACATGACAATTTAAGGGGTCCCTAAGAACTTTGAACTGAATCTGTGAACGTGATCGAGAAGAATTACACCAAGATGTCAGTGTCACAATACAGCCTGCCTCCTTTCTGTATGAGCCCACAGCAGAATTGCAATTAACTGAATACGGGATTGTACATGTCTGGAAATTCAAATACAAAACTGTTCTGGTGTTGTGAAGCAAATGGAAAGCCTACCCTCACAGTGATTGGTGGAAATCGACTGCCAGTTTATTTACCATACACTAAATCCTGTAAATATGAGAAATCACAAATAAGTAACAAAAAAGGGGGGGGGTGAGGGGCGCTGAAAAATGCACACCAAACTAGCGGGGACAAAGGAACTTGGAAGGACGATTAGGACCCCCCTCCACTCACCCAGCACACACACACACACACACACACACACCCATTCACAGTCTTTCACACTTGTTCACTCACTACTTACAGACCTACACACAAATCTGACAAGGAACGACAGCAACATGGACTCACTAATCAATACAACATGTTTCCACAAAGTGACTGAATCTGCTAATAACTGAAAATTACCCTGTCACCTTACAGTGAACTGAGAGGGGTAAACTAGTTGGTCAGGAGCAATTCAGGCTGCTTGTCATACAGAAGTGGGAGGGGCTGATGGAGTGGAGGGGGGATGTATATAAGCTGTCTGTGTTTAAGATAAGAGTGTAGGTGGATTAACAGTGCAATTCCATTAGTTTTCTCCATCTCCTGCCTCTCCCTCATCTGCCTGGTTTTCTGATGTCCACAGCTGGAAACACAAAGACAGAAACACCGTTCAATGTGACATTACAACAAAAAGGGACATGATGATCTGTTACAGTCCCAAACAATATAAAACTCACAGTCAGGTTGTCCCTTAGTAGTTGCATGATCAGGGTGCTGTCTTTGTAAGAGTCCTCGTTCAAAGTGTCAAGTTCAGCAATTGCTTCATCAAATGCCTGTGAAAAGAATGTCAACTGTGATTAATGTTCAGTCATCCTGCATGACATTCCAACCATAACTTTTGGGAAACTGACGCTCTTTGATCTCTAGAAATACAGTCAATTGACAGAAGCGTCTCCCTTGAAGATTTGGGTACATACCGTCTTTGCCAGGCTGCAGGCCTTGTCCGGGTTGTTGAGGATTTCATAATAGAAGACTGAGAAGTTGAGGGCCAGGCCGAGCCTTATGGGGTGCGTTGGCTGCATCTCCCCCTTGCTAATGTCGAACGCTTGCTGGTATGCCTCCTGGGAATTATCCACCGTCACTGAACAGGAACAACAAAAAAAGACAATTTACAAGCCGTAGGTAAAACAAATACTAACTACATTTGTACTTGTTTGCATACAAATGTCTCAAATAAAATATTTTCAGTTAGTTCAAATTTTGTTACTTTTAAATACAGTCAAAGGTCTCCACTTGTTATTTTGCTCTTTATTTTTAAAGGTACCAGATCTACCTTTAACAATTAAAGCCACTTGTTTTGGTTTACCATTAAAGAAATGGAAAACAACTGTTTACATCCCATTTGGAACAATGCTACAAATATTTGGTTATTGAACATTTGATGCAAAAGTGATTTGTTTTCATTTAATTAAGCAATATCAAAAGGCAAAATTTGTTTTCACCCTTCTTAGCATCTCCAGATGCAACTTCAGAGAGGTATCTATAATAGTCGCCTTTCATCTTCAGATAGAACACCCTGCTTTCATGAGAAGTTGCATTGGCAATGAGATAATTGTCCAGTAGGCCCTGAAAAACAAACAAACAAACAAACATCTAGAGTCAGTTCAGGGACAAAATTGCTGATTTGCAAAACCAATCAAGTTTAAAAATGCATTATCTGACCCCACAGAAAGAAAAACTTACAAGTACATCTTTACAGATTTCCTTCAGTTCATCTTCTATCTTCTCCCGATATTCACGTGACATCTGCTGTTTCTTGTCATTGCCCTCAGTCTTCTGCTCAATGCTGGAAATAACACGCCAGGACGAGCGACGTGCTCCAACCACATTCTTGTAGGCAACAGAGAGAAGGTTGCGCTCCTCATTTGACAGCTCTGCGCCTTGCTCAGTCACAGACTTCATGGCTGCAGCCATGTCATCGTAGCGCTCAGCCTGCTCAGATAGCTTGGCCTTCTGTACCAGCTCGTTCTTATCCATTTTCTAGACTGGAAAAAATACAAAAACAGAAATATGTGCAGTCAATAAAAAGTTAGAGAGGTTCTCAGTAACATGTAGTTTATCTTTACTGTGATGGTTCCTAACATTTTTTGGGGTGGTCTATTAAACTTCACCCTAAAAACCTAAGATAGACTTGAGGTTCTTAATAAATGACTCATGTTAAATGTTTGACTAATTGCAATCAGGTTTTGCCAAAAACAGCAAACACTTCTTAGAGGTGTCAAATGAAATTTTCTTCACAACATGCTTTTAGGTGTCATTCTAACATTTGTTTAGTGCCCTGACTGGTAGGGGTTTGCAGTGAAACTCTTTGGTCAGTTTTCTTAATCAACAGTTTATATTATTGATAATGTCACAGTCCTTAGACTACAGCAGTTTCATCTATTTTTGTCTAAACCAAGAATCAGTTTCAAAACTACCCACTGTGACCATGTCTTCTTCTCTTATTCCCCTAATTAATATTTGGTTTGTAATGAAATTATAGATTTAAAATCCAACTACTACTTGTATTTGCTGCCGCAGATTCAGACTGATCCTATACTAGTTTTAAGCATCAAGTATTTTGGACAAGGCCGTCTAGTTGTACTAGTTGGCTGAAGACAGCTCAATTAATTTTTGCTTTCATGTTAAGAAACTTCAAGTTAAAATATTTAAGACTATACAAAACCCATATTGAGTTTGGTTTATATTTGAGTGGTTTGCTGAACCTGAAAATGAGAGCTATACACAGGAATTGTTAAGGTTAACGTTTCGATCTAGTTTTGCAATTTTCATTTTAAAAGATTCAAGGTTTTTTAGATTTTTAGATTTTACATTTGAGTCTGCTATATTAGTAGGGCTATGTTTATTGTTACTTAATTAGTCACTAAAATCAACTCTAAATTTCGTTGCTGGGTCCTGACGCCCTCCCCGGAGGTTGCTAGCAGTGCTAGAGCGGGCTTTCCCCTTTTACTACCCACGTTTACCGATAAGTTGTCAATTAATAAGTGAATCGTTTACATTTTTGTAATTGAACTAGATCCGAGTGAGCGTTCAAATGTAACCACACAATGTGAAAGGCGTTAATCTGTCGCGATAAGCGAATGAAGTGGCTAACAGTCTGCTAGCTACCGTCGTCTGACTAGCGCTGTCTGGCTATCGGTAGGCCAGTACATTTACAACACCGGGCCTTATTTGTTTTAAAAGTCCACAACATCAAGATAACAACAGCTGGTGCTTAAAAATAAAATTCACACAAATAAACGAACATCTGGTATTTTTGTGAATTACAGTAATTTATTTTCCACAGCTGTATCGAGGCCCGCCCAGGCTACCGAGCCTGTCAGAACAAAGTGTCACGGAATCCGACCGTCGGTTAGCTGCTAGCCTTAGCCTCCGATGGCTTCTCAACGGGATTCATCCGGACACGAAAGAAACAGCTATCTCACCTCTAAACTACCAATGAAAACACACCAATACCGTGCTGTATTTGAACGCGTGAAGTCATTCCACTTACTAAATTGGTGACTTTCAATCCTGGTTATTTTCACTCTCTGGACGACTCAGCCTCCGTCTCGTTCAGCGTTCAGGGCAGTACCACTTCCGCTACACTGGCGTTTCTGTTTCCTCCTTTCTCACCACACATCTGCCTTACGTAATGCAAAGCGCTGCTTCTGAGCTAAAGACAGCAATAGATTTTATTGAATAAAAAAGCCCAACTTAAAGCTTTATTCAGGAGGGAAAAAAACAACAATCACATGAATCCACGTTTCTCTATTTAGTTTATAAATAGGACTAGTTAGCTATATATGAAAGTGATTTCCTTCTTCTTTTTCACATTACAGGAATAAATGTTGCCACACCTGCTGCTTGTTCAGCTTGTACACAAAATTCAACTTTTTATTGCCAAAATGATGACATCCAGACTTTAACAGGGTAAATATTTGTGCTTTTGTTGCTCTTTTATGAGATAGCCTGGACATAAAAAGTATTTGTATTAGATTTCTTTCTTTCTTTATTGAACATGTAAATCATGTTCAATTTAACTGAACGCTTCACAAAAATATGAAAAAATAATTGCCCATAATAACTAACTCATAGTTGCACGAATCACATCAAGTCATCCGGTTCCTGAAGAAGCAAAGCAGTCCCAGACCATCACACTACCACCATGTTTCATTGTTATGGTTTTCTGAAATGCAGTGTTAGTTTAACGCCAGCTGAAACCTGAGACATACCTTCAAAGCAGTGCCACTTTTGTCTTGTCAGGTTATTGACTCAGATTTACTTAATACAACTTCAAACCTGAAGCTTTTGAAACATTTATAGAAAATAAGATGACATTTCAGCAGTCATCCAACTTTGACAACTCATCTATCCATCCCAATTTTACTGCCCTGTGTTAATAATTATAGATTTCTGCAAAGATTATGGATAAAATCGAATATAAACCCCATTTTTACCATAAATCTATGATCCACACCCTTTCACAGAGTTGCTGGCTTAATAAATTAATCTTGAAGTGCACATCCTGATCAGTGACTGAATTTATCCATGACATTATTTTTGTTTTCAGAACATTCATTTAGACACACATTCTCATTAACAACCATAGCACAGAAATACACTTTCTGCATTTGGGGACATTTACTCACCCTCTTGATTTTATGTTTATGTATTTAGCAGATGCTTTTGTCCAAAGCGACTTACAAGTGATAATCGGCATGTTGCCCTTGAGGCTAACATCAACAATAACAACAACTTGACATCAATCATGGAGAGGAGGAAACAAAGGAGTGGACGGTGGGGGGGGGGGGGGGGGGGGGGGTGCAGGGAGGGTGCTAGTTAAGAAGATGCTCTCTGAAGAGCAGGGTCTTCAGGAGTTTCTTGAAAACTGAAAAGGAAGCTGCTGTTCTGGTAGTGCTTGGAAGGTCATTCCACATTTGTGGAACGATGCATGAGAAGAGTCTGGATTTTAGACTTTCAGGAGCTGGGAAATGATGGGTGGTGTGAGGTTAAGCCACTGAGGACAAGGACACACATTCTTGTTCTTTGCATTTTAAATGTGTATTAAAGTTAAAATAACCAATCAAATTCTCTTGACTATGATCAAACCATCTCTGCACTCCTATGGATAAGAATAGGCTAATGTTTTTCTTTGTTATTGTACTGAACAACAGTAAAAGTCTCCAAACTTTCATTATCAAATTACATGCAAAGCATGCTTCAACTTTCCACATCACATTTGTGGACAGAACCCATCTCGCACAGCTCCCATCATCCTAAGAACGTAATGTTCTGTTCAACAGAATTTTAACTTCTCATTTAGAGAGCGTTTCACCTGCTTTTATGCTGGCATTTTTGTATTTTTGATTATATAAAAAATACTTGAAAAAAATCCTTAAATATCTCAGCCGACAGAAATCTACTTGATTTATAACAATTTTTCCACATTGTTACACCACCATACATTCTGGCTTATCCAAAATGTTTTCTAATTATAAATTAATATTGAGTTGATGTATGTTTTTGCCTTTTAGCTTTTTTCAGAAATACCACCCTCAGAAGCTCACTGTAACAAAAAATATGAGGATTGGACTTCACATGTTGCCCTCCACACTTTGTGGTTCAACGCAACTCCCACAGCTAAATCCACTGGTGTGTAGGTACGTTCAGTGGGAATTTGCAAATAACTCCATCTTTCATGGATATGCAAACAAAGAGTCAGAGTACCCGGCCCGGAGGTTACGGGGTCCCACCCTGGAGCCAGGCCTGGGGTTGGGGCCCGTGAGCGTGCACCTGGTGGCCGGGCTTTCGCCCATGGGGCCCGGCCAGGCCCAGCCCGAACCGGACACATGGGCTCATCCAACTGTGGACCCACCACCCGCAGGAGGAACATGAAGGGTCCAGTGCAGTGTGGATCGGGTGGCAGACCGAGGCGGGAGCCTTGGCGGTCCGATCCCCGGACAACGAAACTGGTTTCTGGGACATGGAACGTCACCTCGCTGGTGGGGAAGGAGCAGGAGCTTTTGGCAGAGGTTGAGCGATACTGGCTAGATATAGTCGGACTCACCTCGTCCCTCGACACATAGCATTGGCTCTGGAACCCAAGTCCTTGAGAGGGGTTGGACACTCTCCTTTGCTGGAGTTGCTCCGGGTGAGAGGCAGAGGGCTGGGGTTGGCTTTTTGTTAGCCCCAAGACTCTCTGCCTGTGTGTTGGGGTTTACCCCGAGGGACGAGAGGGTATCTTCCCTGCGCCTTCGGGTCGGGGAACGGGTCCTGACTGTTTGTGCTTATGGGCCAAATATCAGTTCAGAGTACCCAACCTTTTTGGAGTCCCTGGGAAGAGTGCTAGATATTGCTCCATCAGGGGACTCCATTTTCCTGCTGGGGGACTTCAATGCTCACGTGGGAAATAACAGCATGACCTGGAGGGGTGTGATTGGGAGGAACGGCCCGCCTGATCTGAACTCGAGTGGTGTTTCGTTATTGGACTTCTGTGCAAGCCACAGTTTGGCCATAACGAACACCATGCTCGAACATAAGGATGCCCATCAGTACAGGGCAGCCTAGGTCGCAGATAGACTTTGTAGACGTATCATCTGACCTGTGGCTGTATGTTTTGGACACCCGAGTGAAGAGAGGAGCGGAGCTGTCAACTGATCACCACCTGGTGGTGAGTTGGATCAGATGGCAGGGGAAGATGCCGCGTAGACCTGGCAGACCCAAATGCATAGTGAGGGTCTGCTGGGAACACCTGGCAGAAGAACCTGTCAAGACGGTCTTCAACTCCCACCTCAGGCAGAGCTTTGACCGCGTTCCGAGAGCAGTGGGGGACATTGACTCCGAGTGGGCCTTGTTCCACTCTGCGATTGTTGAGGTGGCCGGAGCCAGTCGTGGTGGCAACCCCCGTACCCACTGGTGGACACCAGAGGTTTTGGGAGCTGTCAGGCTGAAGAAGGAGGTCTACAGGGCGTGGCTGGTCTGTGGGTCTCCTGAGGAAGCAGACAGGTACTAGCTAGCCAAGCGGGGTGCAGCAGTGGCAGTTGCCGAGGCAAAATCTCGGGCATGGGAGGAGTTTGGTGAGGCCATGGAGAAAGACTATCGATCGGCTCCAAAGAGGTTCTGGCAAACTGTCCGGCGCCTCAGGAGAGGAAGGCAGCAACTCGCTCACAGTGTTTACAGTGGGGATGGGGAGCTGCTGACGTCAACTGGGGCTATAGTTGGACGGTGGAAGGAATACTTTGAGGAGCTCCTCAATTCCACCTACGCACATTCTGAGGAGGAACCAGAGCCGGGAGACCTGGGGATGGACTGTCCAATCTCGGGAGCAGAAGTTGCTGAGATAGTCAAAAAACCACACAGCGGCAGAGCCCCAGGGGTGGATGAGATTCGTCCTGGGTATCTCAAGGCTATGGATGTTGTAGGGTTGTCGTGGTTGACACGTCTCTGCAACATTGCATGGTCATCAGGGGCAGTTCCTGTAGAGTGGCAGACCGGGGTGGTGGTTCCCATCTTTAAGAAGGGTGACGTGAGGGTGTGTTCCAACTATAGGGGGATCACACTCCTCAGCCTCCCTGGAAAGGTCTACTCCAAGGTACTGGAGAGGAGGGTCCGAGCGATAGTTGAATCTCAGATTGAGGAGGAGCAATGTGGTTTTCGTCCTGGCCGTGGAACTGTGGACCAGGTCTATACCCTTGCAAGGGTGTTGGAGGGGGCATGGGAGTTTGCCCAACCAATCCATGTGTTTTATGGATTTGGAGAAGGCTTATGCCCGTGTCCCCAGGGGCACCCTGTGGGGGACGCTCCAGGAGTATGGGGTGGGTGGTTTTCTGTTAAGGGCCATTCAGTCCCTTTACCAGAGGAGTGCAAGTTTGGTCCGCATAGCCGGTAGTAAGTCGGACCTGTTCCCGGTGAGGGTTGGACTCCGCCACAGCTGCCCTTTGTCACCGGTTCTGTTCATTACCTTTATGGACAGAATTTCTAGGCGCAGCCGTGGTGTGGAGTGTGTCGAGTTTGGTGGCAGGAGAATCTCGTCTCTGCTTTTTGCAGATGATGTGGTCCTCCTGGCTTCATCCAGCTCTGACCTTCAGGTCTTGCTGGGTAGGTTCGCGGCCGAATGTGAAGCGGCTGGGATGAGGATCAGCACCTCCAAATCTGAGACCATGGTTCTCGACCGGAAAAGGGTGGCTTGCCAACTCCGGGTCGGGAGAGAGGTCCTACCTCAAGTGGAGGAGTTGAAGTATCTTGGGGTCTTGTTCACGAGTAAGGGTAGGAGGGATCGGGAGATCGACAGGCAGATTGGTTCAGCGTCTGCAGTGATGCGGACGCTGAGCCGATCTGTCGTGGTGAAGAGGGAGCTGAGCCAGAAAGCCAGACTCTCGATTTACTGGTCGATCTACGTCCCAATCCTCACCTATTGTCATGAGCTTTGGGTAATGACTGAAAGAACGAGATTGCGGATACAAGCGGCCGAAATGAGTTTCCTCCGTAGGGTGGCCGGGCTCAGCCTTAGAGATAGGGTGAGGAGCTCGGGCATTCGGGTGGGACTCAGAGTAGAACCGCTGCTCCTCCGGATCGAAAGGAGTCAGCTGAGGTAGTTTGGGCATCTGGTCAGGATGGCTCCTGGACGCCTCCTTGGGGAGGTGTTTTGGGCATGTCCTGCCGGCAGGAGGCCCTGGGTCGACCCAGGACACGTTGGAGAGGTTACATCTCCTATCTGGTCCGGGAATGCCTTGGGGTCCTGCCGGAGGAGCTGGTGGAGGTGGCCGGGAAGAGGACGGTCTGGAGCTCCCTAGTTGGGATTCTGCCCCCGCAACCCGGATAAGCGGAGGAAGACGAGGACGACGACGACGAACAACAACCATGTTCTCAATGAACCCAAAAACTCATTAATATCAAAGCTGAATGTTTTTGGAAGTAGTTTTTAGTTTTAGCTATTTTAGGGGGATATCTGTGTGTGCAGGTGACTATTACTGTGCATAATTACAGGTGCTGGCCAGTAAATTAGAATATCATCAAAAGGTTGAAAATATTTCAGTAATTCCATTCAAAACGTGAAACTTGTACATTATATTCATGCAATGCACACAGACCAATGTATTTCCGATGTTTATTACATTTAAATTTGATATTTATAGGTGACAACCAATGAAAACATCAAATCTGGTATCTCAGAAAATTAGAATATTCTAAAGGCCAATGAAAAAATGTTTGTTTCTCTAATGTTGGCCAACTGAAAAGAATGAACATGAAAAGAATGTGCATGTATAGCACTCAATACTTAGTCGGGGCTCCTTTTGCCTCAATAACTGCAGTAATGCGGCGTTGCATGGACTCGATCAGTCTGTGGCACTGCTCAGGTGTTATGAGAGCCCAGGCTGCTCTGATAGTCGTCTTCAGCTCCTCTGCATTGTTGGGTCTAGCGTATTGCATCCTCCGCTTCACAATACCCCATAGATTTTCTATGGGGTTAAGGTCAGGCGAGTTTGCTGGCCAATCAAGGACAGGGATACCATGGTCCTTGAACCAGGTGCTGGTGGTTTTGGCACTGTGTGCAGGTGCCAAGTCCTGTTGAAAGGTGAAGTCTGCATCCCCATAAAGTTGGTCAGCAGCAGGAAGCATGAAGTGCTCTAAAACTTCCTGGTAGACGGCTGCATTGACCCTGGACCTCAGGAAACAGAGTGGGCCAACACCGGCAGATGACATGGCACCCCACACCATCACTGACGGTGGAAACTTTACACTGGACCTCATGCAACGTGGATTCTGTGCTTCTCCGCTCTTCCTCCAGACTCTGGGTCCTTGATTTCCAAAGGAAATGCAGAACTTGCTTTCATCAGAAAACATAACTTTGGACCACTCAGCATCAGTCCAGTCCTTTTTGTCCTTGGCCCAGGCGAGACGCTTCTTGCGCTGTTTCTTGTTCAAGAGTGGCTTGACACACGGAATGCGACACCTGAATCCCATGTCTTTCATGAGTCTCCTCGTGGTGGTTCTTGAAGCGCTGACTCCAGCTGCAGTCCACTCTTTGTGGATCTCCCCCACATTTTTGAATGGGTTTGTCGTCACAATTCTCTGCAGGGTGCGGTTATCCCTAGAGCTTGTACACTTTTTTCTACCACATTTTTTCCGTCCCTTCGCCTGTCTGTTAATGTGCTTGGACACAGAGCTCTGCGAACAGCCAGCTTCTTTAGCAATCACCTTTTGTGTCTTGCCCTCCTTGTGCAAGGTGTCAATGATTGTCTTTTGGACAGCTGTTAAGTCAGAAGTCTTCCCCATGATTGTGGTGCCTTCAAAACAAGACTGAGGGACCTTTTAAAGGCCTTTGCAGGTGTTTTGAGTAAATCAGCTGATTAGAGTGGCAGCAGGTGTCTTCTATATTCAGCCTTTTCAGAATATTCTAATTTTTTGAGATACCAAATTTGGAGTTTTCATTAGTTGTCACTTATGAATATCAAATTTAAATGTAATGAACATTGGAAATACATTGGTCTGTGTGCATTGCATGAATATAATGTACATGTTTCACGTTTTGAATGGAATTACTGAAATATTTTCAACCTTTTGATGATATTCTAATTTACTGGCCAGCACCTGTATTAGGGCAACTTAACAAAAAACAAATATATACCCATTTCAATTATTTTTTACCAGTAAACCAATATAACATCTCCACATTCACAAATATACATTTCTGACATTCAAAAACAATACAAAAACAAATCAACCAATATAGCCACCTTTCTTTGCAAGGACACTCAAAAGCCTGCCATGCATGGATTCTGTCAGTGTTTTGATCTGTTCACAATCAACACTGCGTGCAGCAGCAACCACAGCCTCCCAGACACTGTTCAGAGAGGTGTACTGTTTTCCCTCCTTGATGATGGACCACAGGTTCTCAATGGGGTACAGATCAGGTGAACAAGGAGGCCATGTCATTAGTTTTTCTTCTTTTATACCCTTTCTTGCCAGCCACGCTGTAGAGTACTTGGTGTGATGGAGCATTGTCCTGCATGAAAATCATGTTTTTCTTGAAGGATGCAGACTTCTTCCTGTACCACTGCTTGAAGAAGGTGTCTTCCAGAAACTGGCAGTAGGACTGGGAGTTGAGCTCGACTCCATCCCCAACCCGAAAATGCCCCACAAGCTCATCTTTGATTATACCAGCCCAGACCAGTACTCCACCTCCACCTTGCTGGCGTCTGAGTTGGACTGGAGCTCTCTGCCCTTTACCAATCCAGTCACGGGCCCATCCATCTGGCCCATCAAGACTCACTCTCATTTCATCAGTCCATAAAACCTTAGAAAAATCACTCTTGAGATTTCTTGGCCCGGTCTTGACATTTCAGCTTGTGTGTCTTGTTCAGTGGAGGTCGTCTTTCAGCCTTTCTTACCTTGGCCATGTCTCTGAGTATTGCACACCTTGTGCTTTTGGGCACTCCAGTGATGTTGCAGCTCTGAAATATGGCCAAACTGGTGGCAAGTGGCATCTTGGCAGCTGCACGCTTGACTTTTCTCAGTTCATGGAAAGTTATTTTGCGCCTTGGTTTTTCCACACGCTTCTTGCGACCCTGTTGACTATTTTGAATGAAACGCTTGATTGTTCGATGATCACGCTTCAGAAGCTTTGCAATTTTAAGACTGCTGCATCCCTCTGCAAGATATCTCACTATTTTTGACTTTTCTGAGCCTGTCAAGTCCTTCTTTTGACCCATTTTGCCAAAGGAAAGGAAGTTGCCTAATAATTATGCACACCTGATATAGGGTGTTGATGTCATTAGACCACACCTCTTATTACAGAGATGCACATCACCTAATATGCTTAATTGGTAGTAGGCTTTCGAGCCTATACAGCTTTGAGTAAGACAACATGCATGAAGAGGATGAAGTGGACAAAATACTCATTTGCCTAATAATTCTGCACGCCTTGTAAATGCTGATAGAAGGATGTCGCTGGGTGTTGTTGCATCATGTATCCTATCAAAGTCATATTGCAGAAACTCACCATTATACCTGGGAAACGGTGAAATAACCGGCAAATCATCCACACAGTTTCTCACATACTATCACATTTGTGCAAAACCTTTCAAATTACACAAAATGTTTTTATCTTCTTTAATTTGCAGCCATGCCGTTTCTGTTTCCAGCACAGATCAATAAAGGCTTGGTCTAGTTTTAACACATAATTTTTCTGTGATCTGAAGCCGCCTCTGACTCGAGCTGTGATGTTACTGAACACAGTTACTGCAGCTAAACATTAAAACCTGCATGCTGCAAGTGTATCCGTCATCTTGTAGGTTGTCTGTAACATTAATAGTTGTGATAACCAGCGACAGAATCAGAGTCCAACAAAGAGTCCTCCTGTGAACATCATTCACTTGTCTGCAGGCTGATGGAGAACTATCTGACCATCTGCTATTTTCTGCTGGTACTCCCGCTCTGATTTTTTCCTCCTGTAGACGTCATCTGTGAAACAAAAGTAATATTTTAAGCGATGAAACAGGGCTGCAGTTATTTAAAAACATGTAGATCCATACCACTTATTATCAGACTCTCTTCACATGTTGTTAAATGTGGCATAGTAGGACAATAAGATGTGTGTAGCAATAGGACAATAATAAAAACAATACTACTTATTACCTATGGCTCTGTTCTACTTAGGTGACCCAACAATTACATTTGTATACATGTGTTACAAGTCATGCAACATTTTGGCTCGTCACTGCAGCAAAAGCACACGTGTAAATTAATATGTGGCGCACATGACCCAGGAGAACCCTCTCCAAGGTGCTGATTTACTTTGTACTCTCAGACAGCTGATGAAACGGAGGTGTCAATATTTATTTATTTTGTTTCTTTCTGGTATCGTACTGAAAATAGTAGCAGTTTTACAACTTTTGCATGAGTAATTTTTTCATAAATTACTAAGCTGATAAGTGATAATGAACCTGGTTCTTTTTAAAGAAAGCTTTCACAAGGCTTCAGAACAAAATTTCACATAAAATACCATGGGTTTACCTTTTTTTTTTAAAATGAGGTCAGAAATGACCCATTCTGACTAGGTGTTAGTTTACCCCCAAAGAGATTTTGTCTCAGATTCTTTAAACTGAGATAGTTTGGACTGGCTTACATTTAAACTGGTCAATGGATTTGAATGGATCCCACCTCTAAGACATCTCCACCAGGTCATGTTTGTAAATAAGAACATGTTCTCAAATATTTTATCTGGTAAAATAAAGGTTGAAAGAAATTGAAAAGTAGTGTAGTTGAACACAACTGATAGTCTTAAGTGGTGAAATCTGTAAAGTAGATTATGAGATAAGGTAGATAATATGGCTTTCCCTTATTCTGATTGTGATCAGACCTTTAGTTTAGTCTCCACTGACTGTAGCATCATTAGCACTTGACTTTTATAATAAAGTATTTTTCTCAGATCAGAAGGACTCCTGCAGACTGGAACATATATACAATGAAATGTTCTTTACACAGATCTTGCAGATGTTGAAGTTATAAAATTATTTTCATCCCATAGATGTTCCAGAGAATATTTGAGGCCAGTAATGTAGTGATGTGGCTCAAACATGGGAACTGATTTAAACCAGTCCTAACGTAGTACCAGCTTGAAACAGATCCAAAACCGATCCAGATCAAAAAGATAAAAGTACATAAAATATATGGTTTAAAATGTGATGAAGCATAGGTTTGAAGTGCATAATCCTGATAGGAGAAACAGCTCGGGCCTGCTGCCTGATAGTTTGACTTTAAAGAATATTTTTGTTCTGGACCAGTATCAGCACTATTTGCAGTCATGACCTTCAGGAAACACGACATGTTTAAGACTTATTGTGGCTTGAGGCAGACATACTACCATTTTGGAGAACAGTAGGACAAGATGGACACGCAATGCCAAAGCGTTTCAATATTAACGAAGAAGGTGGCATGACATGCGGTGGGTGTTTAATGCAGTGTATCAATATGGTTAAAAAAATAAAATAAACAAACATGGCGGCTACTTCCTGTCTTCACCGTGTAGACTGGCCTCAGATAAAGCGTGCATAATAAAGAAGCTAACTTTGTTGACACTTACAGAAAGTCTCTTTTCCTATCCTCACGTTGATCATGACCCACTCCATGACTCCTCCGATGCAAAAGAAGATGGGTAGAAACCTGTACGGCCCCAGCTGGCGTTTCCCTGGAACGATGCTCAGAAGCCTTTTTATTGTTTTGCTCCTATAAAACATGGCGAATTATAAAAAACAAAAGCTAAGAGTCCAGTTTACAGCGTCTTCGCAAAAGCGGTTCAAAACCACTCTCTTGTCTTTCACGTGCCCTTTGGAAACATTACGAGAGTATGAGAAATGGCGCTCGTTTTGTTTCATGGCTTATAGCAGGCGGGCGGTGTTCTGATTCGCCTCGTTGTAGCAAGCTAGCATTTGTGGCTAGCTCTACGGCGAATTAAAAACAAACGCGTTTAAAAACGTAATATCCGGTTTTTACGCGTCTACAAATCAAATGCAAATGTTTTACTTTTCATTGTAAGTTTAACACGTAACCTTCTGAATCGTCAGGCAAAATATTTCAATGAATATGATGCATATATTTAAAAAAATCGAATATATTTAGATGCTTCTTGCATTTTAGTTGAACACAAAATCACTAGATGGCATATTTTCAATATTGACTGACACCTAAACACATTTTCACCCAATCTTTAAAAATATTGAATTATTTTAATAATTTAAGCAGAACATAATAAAAACAGGCAAGTGATTTTTATGACAATTCTTTATTTTGTGTTTTATTCAATCCCATGGTAACCATGCCTTCTTAAATGGTCTAAAATTGAACTTCCTGGGACGGGTCTTGAGCGATTGGATTTCAAAACATAGTATGTATGACACAGTATAAAAACAGATATAAAGCCAAAAGTTCTACCATAGCATGAGATGAAATACACAGATGAGGGTTTAATTTAACTGGGATGACCAAACGCACCATAGCTGAAATGACCTCATGACACAGTATTAGAAATCACACAACAGATACATAAAATATACTTACACAAGACACATGCAACAACTCTAAGGGGCTTCTCAATTAGTACCATACAGGGAGCTAAGAGGAGATCTAGGACACTAAATTTTCTCATCAGAAATCTACAGGATCAAAGATAAGTTATACTAATCATGTAAAAACATTCCTGTAGGTTTGAATTTCATATTAAGATGTGAGAGCATATATGCAGGCATTAATTTTCAAAAAGGGGGTATTTAACAATCCCACTGTTTTCTTTTAAATGACTTCCTATAAACAACAGTCATATTTGGGGGGGGGGGGGGGGGTAAGTGGTAAGTCATCAGAATAAATGAAATTATGATTTTACAGCATTTCTGTCTCAAATCTCATCCATTTGCCCCAAAATTTCCAATATCACAAACAACTGTGTTAAGTTTGGAAAATAAATCAAGAATTAGCTTTTTTTTTGCTGTCTTGATTTTGAGCTTTGTTTTATAATTATTTGTGTAGTGAAATGGTAACTCCAGCAGATATCAGTCTTCAACTTTGTGAGCTGGTCTACAAAAAGTCCAGTGATGCTCAACTGTGTTTTCGTTTGCACGCTCACTCATGTGATGCACACGCGTGTTCCGGATAGTGAAGCCCTGTTTCATGATGTAGTCCATGAGATGAACCCTTAAAGACACCTCTTGATGATAGTCACATGGTCCAAAGGTAAACGATACCTGACAGTCCCTGGTGTCCATCATGTGTTTGTTCCACTTGGTGAAATTGTTTGAAATTCCTTCAAGCAGCGCGTGAACTTTGGTCGTAATAGTTAGCTGTGTGATGATCACCGCAACTGGGTTTGAGTATTTAGACAGTTTCCGAGTGCTAGAGAGCTCCACGACTTCCTCAAAGATGTCGGGAGGGTACAGCGGTTTGGGATCATTAAGGCACTGGATCAAAGGTTCGATCTGGTAGAAGTCTGCCTCCTTCCTCAGCAGGTCTGTCTCTGTGAAATCCACAGGAAGGGTAAGCTCGGATGTTCGCAGGAAGTTAAGGATGTACCGGAAAAGTGTCCCGTCTCGATCAATGAAATAATTCCCTTGGGAATCACGAGTTGTGGGAAAATCACCCCTGAACATGGCACCAAGCATAGAGTCTGGATAACGCTGCAAGGTGGACAGACTAGTGGTGTACAGGTGGCCTCCCACATTCAAGGTAACAGGAGTGGTCATCTAAAGGAAAATTGTTGCAAAAGTGAGAAATAATATTAATAATTTGTAGTTCTTCAAGAATAAAAATATATTGTTCAAAACAGATTTACAGGAGAAACTCAGAAGATTTAAATGTGGTGCAAAAGTTATTTTATTTCACTAACTGAACTTAAAAGGTGAAACTAATATACAAGATAGACTCATTATAGGGCTGGGCGATATAGCCTAAAGTCAATATCATGATAAATTGAGGATTTCAACTTGATAACGATAAATGAATAACTACAGGTATGCGGAGAAACAAAAGTTGTCCACTAGATGGGGCTGTGTCACGTGTATTACATTGGGACACATTTTTAGTGACAAGGTGGTACAGCTTCTTAAAGGGACATGAACGTTGCCAACCTACACACATCTTTTCATTTATTTATTATCAAATTTATTGACATGGGAAAAATTATCTCGATATGAGTCAGAAATTTTGATAACGATACATTTTCGATTTGTTGCCCAGCCCTAACTCATTATATGCAAAGCCAGATGTTTCAAGCCTTTGTTTGTTATAAATGTGATGATTAGGGCGTACAGCTTATGAAAACCCCAAATTCAAACATTAGAAGATTGTGAAAAGGTTAAGTAAAATCAAAGTGTCACACTCTAATCAGCTATTGGATCCAGAACACCTGCAAAGGGTTCCTGAGTCTTTAGATGGTCTCTCAGTCTTAGTTGGATTACTGAAATAAATATACTTTTGCACAGTATTCCAATCTTCCAAGTTCTCCCAGTATATTAAATTATTGTAATCTAAATAAAAGTACACATGATTTCATTATTTTTTTTTATCATTGATGAGTTTTATTTTTTCCTCAACATCTTTTGTTGTTATTAATTTCGCTGTGAACATCCTTTTATGCATTATTGTTCTACAGAACTTTGGGTTGCCATGACTTGAAAAGCACTGAACTAATAACCTTGATTGACTGATTATCAGGAAGAAGAACATTATTAACATTGAGTCTTCATTTCTAACCACAACCATAACATACCTTATGGCCCCAGTCTCCATTATCCATTTGTGGAAGAATACCGACTTGGTCAGAAACAAAACAGAAGGAACAGATGACAATCTGCACACTTTACTTTTATCTGTGGAAGAAAACAGCCACATTACTACAGATTAACTTAATTTTGCACACACTTCTCTGTACGTATGTTAGATTTTATGAACAACATTGTAGAGTAGCTGATTGATCAGCTGCAGTAAATCTTACGTAAAATGTTTGGTTGTTAATCAGAGAGAACTTCAACAGTATATCAAACATAAACAACACATGCATAATATGTCTGAAGAAACGGAAAACCAGATTACTACTAACTGTGGATTTTTATGTGTCCCAAACATATTTATCAGATTATCCCATGTGATACTTATAAATGTAGTCCTCCTAGTCATCTATAATAGACTAGAACAGACTTTATTAATCTCGCCGTGGGGAAATTCACTTGCTACAGCAGCACAAACACTTAGAGAAAAGGAATATGAAAAATGCTGATGCTCTTTACAGGAAATACCCTGAAATAAAATGGTCTGAATGTTAGCGGTTCCTCTGCAGCACTGTTGTGACCAAACAAGGTCAAATATAACAAAAGAGGGAACATCTGCATTTGCACTGCCCTCGTCTTTATCATTATGAAAGAAGTGTTATCTCAAACGTAATTTCAACAACCAGGGTTTGAATTTTATAATCGAGAGGTTCTGTTACTTCTACAGCAACACCTGTACGGGGAAAGAGGAAAAGCCCACCACACCGCTTTAATTTATAGCTTAAACTGACATCCTGATTGCTAATACTTAAACGAAAGGCGACGAAATACACAAGTACATCTCTTAAGCAACAAAGTGTATTTTAAAGTGAATTGTGTTACAGTTTAAATAGTATTTTATGCTGCTTTATCTAAAGCGTTAGTAAAAGTGAGTAATGGTTAGCGTAATGATTGTTAGCCTAGCTAGGCTGCTAGTTAGCAAGCTAACACAACTAGCGATACATAAACAACTGCGGCTATCAACAGGATTTCCTTTAGGCTATCTGCGGATAAGAGCAGAACATGACCGGGTTTCTTTGGTGTTAGCTTTTGTGTTTTGGGTCCAATAAGAGTGGGCTGTGGTCAGCATTTAAAAGTCAGTGAATGTGGGTCGTACCGTAGCAGCTGTGGTCGGCTTCAGGCTGCAGAAACACTGTCCACAAGGAGGATGAAGGACAAGGAGGAAGAGGTCTTGCTGCAGCCTCCTAGCATGCAAAAGCACACATCCACAGAGAGCGGAACGGGCTTACATGGTACAGAGGAGGGGCCCAGCCGACTACAGGCTCCTGCAAAACTATTAAACATGCAAATATTCACAAGAGGCAGTCCTTCAAATGCCCATTCAGGTGAACATCCTGCATTTTGAGACCATTAGACAGTGGCATTAAGTATTGACTAACACTAGAATCAATCTAATATATTTATGTTGAATATTTGCCTACTGTGTTGTCTATTATTCATTAAAAACATGAACACGAAGACAATAATGGAAGCAAATCCATATATGTGTATTATCCCAATCCACTTTACATAGAAATGTAACTCAAGCAATGTTTGGACACTTCATTCTTTATTTCAGTTTTAATGTGCAATTAGAAGTGGTGTGTGACTGAACACACGCAAGAAATGGCATCAAAACAGGATGTGATTTAAGATTCAAGAACACTTCTTTGTGCCGCTCCCAGAATTTTGCTGCAAGATGATAAACTCCAGGAGAAGTTTGGCTGTGCGACATGGCTTTTCCATCACCACAGAGTGCCCACAGTTATCCAGCAGGTCCACTCTGCATCCAGCCACCCACTCTGCAATAACATTGGCTCCAGAGACGTCCACGACCTAGACACATTTGAAACAATAATTATTTTATCCATCTGACATGAATTACTTCATGTTAGCATCTAAATCCTATGCATTTATTAGAATCTCATAATTTCTGTGAAACACCAAGCAGTTATCTATGTTTTTATGTGGGTCATTGTGTTATTTTTAAATCACTTACCTGATCTTGTTTTCCCCATATTACTTGCAAAGGGGTAGTTATGAGATGCAAGTGTTCCTGCAAGGCATACCTTGATTTTTCACCAATAATCTCCATAAACACTGATGAAAGAATATTTCTGTTAGTTAAATATTATCTTTATTGTGTTGTGGCATACATTATTCAGAGCACTGTGAACTAACCTTCTTCGTAGAATGAGTTATGAGGTTGTCGAACATCAACCAGCCCTTGAAGAATCTGAATAAAAATTCACAGGTTTAAACTATAAAATGATTAACCTTTTAATTTTTCATTCATATTATTTTCTTTTCACCTTTTTACTAATTCACAGATGAGCAAAGGGCTGCCACGTAAACGGGCAGACATCACATTCACACCTGAAGTGGTCTCTTGCTTTAATATTCTCCTTAATGACAGAACGGAGGAGTGGACCCACACAAACCACACATCAAATCGGCCAGCTCAGTCTAGGGAGAGTCATACCTGTCTTGGTCTCCTCATGGACATGGCCTCTAAACAAGACAACATGGCCACTCTCACTACTGTCTTCAACATTTTTCCTTTCATTCTTGCTGAAATCCTTTCAACACACATCTCACCTGACACTTTTCTCCAACCTGCTTCATACACTTCTTCACCTCTTTTTTACACTCTCTGTTGCTATGGACAGTAGGCCCGTGCCCTAAGTACCTAAAGTCCTCTACCTTCTTTACTTCTACTCTCTGTAACATCACCCTTCCACTTGTGTCCCTCTCATTTACACTCATACCATACCATACCATCTTTATTTATAAAGCACATTTAAAAACGGCATGGCAGCCGACCAAAGTGCTGTACAGAATAAAAAGTAAAAACACAATATAAAACAATACACGGTCAACAATAAAATGCACAACAAGGCAGATAATTAAAGTCAATAAAAAGACACATAATAAAATAATAAAAGTCAGGGATTTAAAAATGCCTGGTCATAAAAGTGAGCCTTCAGCAGCGATTTGAACTGGAGGAGGGATGGTGCCAGCCTCAACGAAAGAGGAAGTGCATTCCATAGTGTCGGAGCAGCATAGACAAAAGCACGCTGCCCCCGCATTTTGTATTTCATTAATGGAACACGAAGCAGCAGGCAATCAGCAGACCTCAACGCCCGGTTTGGCACATATCTAGTGACAAGATCCGACAGGTAATCCGGTGCTAGACCGTTCAGGGCCTTAAAAACAAAAATCAGGATTTTAAATTTGACCCTAAAGTTTACGGGTAGCCAGTATCTGTCCTTCTGTGACTTACTTTCATTCCTCTCTTTTCCTGTACACATCTCCACCTAGCTTTTCCTCCTCCACCCTGCTCTCGCTGCAGATCACCATGTCATCTGCAAACATCATAGTCCATGGAAACGCCAGTCTAACGTAGTCTGGTAGCCTGTCCATCAACAAAGTCAACAAGAAGAGGCCTAGAGCAAGGGATGGACAATATAGTGGCATCAATATCGGTATCGGACGATGTTAGCCATTTTTTTTAAACATATCGGTATCGGTTCGATAAATAAAAACAGGCCGATATTAACAGTCAATATTTTTTCCATCTCATCTCCATTTGTTTGCCTGTTTCAGATGGTGAGGGGAGTGATGTGTAATTGTTTAGTCATGTGAACAGTGAATGAAATCATCTCAGAACAGTAAATATGTGTGCTGTGTTTTATATCATTATCTGCAAATATCGGTTATCGGCCGTAACAGTGATCTTTATGTCGGTCGGATATCGGCATCAGCCCAAAAATTTCATATCGGTGCATCACTACTTAGAGCCCACACTTGATGTTGTCCCACCGCCTCCTTGAACTCGTCTGGCACTCCTACAGCACACCTCACTGCTGCCTTACAGCTCTCAAACATGCTCTGCACCACTCTAACATACTTCTCACTCTAGACTTCCTCAGCATCTTGCCATATGCTTTCTCTAAATCTAAAAAGATGCACATCATTTTTTTGCACTTCTCTATCAGCATCCTTAAAGCAAAAATAGCATCTGTAGTAACATTCTGCTGCTGCTCATTTCTGATACGTCTTGCTTACTCTATCACAGAGCTTCATTGTACAACCCATTTGCTTTGCTCCTCTGTTGCCACAGTTCTGTAAGCCATCTATGCTGTCATGTTTTAAATCATATAAAGTGCTATAAAAAATGGCAGCAGAAAGTATTTTTTTAGACTTTGCTGAGCGGTGAATGGGCCTGGAGGCACCTTATAGGGTTCCTGGTGACCCAGGGCTTAGACTGTCTCCAAGCCTCTGCTGGATTTTTCCCTGCAAACCTATGCTGCAAGCCCCATCAACATTTCTTCAGGAACTTTCTAGTGCTACTTGCGATGCCTACATCTTACCTGCTGAGGGATTTTAAATCGAACGTGGGAACACAGCCTGAACATGTCCTCCATCTCTTCGGGCGTAGTGGGGATCAGCGGGATGTTCAGTGTGTAGTTATGCTCCAGATCCTGCAGGTGATTGTCAAATTTGGTTTCACACGGATGTTTTATACCTGCAAGATGAAACCAGTGTTTTACTGGTCACAAAATGACATAAAATGGCCACTAACGGAAATATCTGGAACATTAAACAGCAGAAAGAACGTCACTAAAGAACTGATTAAGTGAAAAAGATGAGAAGGAAAGAGACGTTTTAAAAGATTTAGCACTAATTTTCTTCATTAATGACGTATTTTATTAGTACTTTGTGTGTATTTATATAACCATAATGGTTTGTTCAAGTTTTCTGTTCAGACTGTAGAGTGTTACCTATCTGAAGAAAAGATTGAGTTAAGCGAAACACAATTTTTCTGCATCAATGCCATAATTTATGCTACAGAATGATTTTTGTTTTTACTGCATAATTGGGTTTTATCTGTAAAACTTAACGCATGTTTATCTTAGTTCCTACGCAAATTCCACTTTTTAGAGCACTTGACCATGTTATGTTATTTCTTCACAAAATACACCCTAAAAGTGGTTTTTGGCTTCATGCATGCATTTTCCTGTCTCAGCTGCGTCTTCCCTTCAGCTCTGGTAAACTCTGCTAAGCTAGGCAATAGCAATAGCAGGCGCCTGGCTGAGGTGTTTCAGATCTTGACCCCTCTTCCCCTGGACTGCAAACACTAACATCCAGTCTCTCTATGTAGTTAGCAGGGAGTTTAATCTCCACAACTGTGAATAATTGATTTCTTTCTTATCTAGGTTGCATTTTAAAAAGCCTAAAAATATATATTTTCTTCTGCAAAAGGTACAGGATCCCTTTCCAATCGCTGAGTCGGACATGTCAGGGTGAATCTGCAGCATGCATGAATCTGCGGTCTCCGAGTCCACAGTTGGTGGAATTCATATGGATAGAGGTGGAGTTTCATCTTATTTCCAGGTTGAAGGATTGGTTTATGTTTCTAAAACAAATTACATCTATCTATTATAGTTTATTGAGCCTATCGTTGCTCTGGAAGGGGTCAAATAGCACGATACAGACTCTTCTGAAGCTAAACTTTCACTGGAAACATTTTTATCTCCAAACATGGAGTTAGATTTGTATTTCATGGCAGCTACAACAGAGTAAGAATTCAGTAACAAGAGGGACACAAACCTAAAAACACACACAAAGTGACTGACCATCTGGACAGATGAGTGTCATGCTACAGAGGTCTGATGGAAAGCAGGCTGCATAAACCCCAGCTACATTGCCACCCATGGAGGTTCCAACCAGATGAAATGGTTTCCTGTTTAAGTGAACGGCTCTCACAAACTACAGATGGAGGAGACGACACAAACTGATTTTTAAATCTAAAAAAATCTACATAGGAAAAATACTCCCATCCATTAAAAGTCCCTTCCTCTGAGAACCTGATGGATCCTTCTGACTTGTCCCTGAATGGAGTAATCCTCTGTGTTGGTGCGGGTTGTTCCCTCATGACCAGGCATGTCCACACACACAATATGCAGATGCTTTGGTAAATACTAGACACATGAAGAGCACACAAAGCAAAGAGAGGTGAGTTTATGAAACACTTCACACGCTGATGTACGTTGTTCATGCTGGTGCTGTTATAATGATAATGATTAACACTGAGTTAACTAACAAATGCAAATTAGGTTTTCTGTCTTACCTGTTTCTTTTCTTTTTGCCACAACATAAATATGTAGATTCATAATGAACTTATAAATATATTCATCCATGCATTTTTTTTTATTTCAAGGTGATTATGTTTCTGACATAATGTAAAATAACAAAAAAGTGCTTGAAGGAATGCACATTAATGAGATATTTTGATTTTCATCAAGAAAAATTCCCAAATTTTTCTGTTATTTAAAAATTCATAATTTTATGGAATAAAGAGGATTTTATACCTATATGTTAATTTCTCTATAAAACATTCAGTTTTGTTGTTTCAATGACAAAAAACTATTACTAATAAAAAAAAGTCTACATTTTAATAAAACCATAATGGTTTACCGCGGTATGTGTTAGATTTTTAATATTGATTTATATTTTTGCAACAAACGTAGAGTTCCTCCCACCTTGACAACTGTCAGCCATGTATCTTTGTGAGCAGAAAAACCGTGAAGCATTAAGATCGAAGGTCTCATCCCAGGTTTTCCTCTGTATGAGTAACAGAAGCGATAACCACCACAGTCTGCAAAGCGCAGCTGCAGACCCAAAGTCCTTCTCCAGTACCTGGAGACAAACAGATTCACACAACCCTAAAGAATGAGACATGCTCTTGATGAAAATTACATTTGGGAAAATTAAGCTGATTATGGAATCAGTTTGGTCATTTTGGGAATCTGATTTATTGTCTCATAAACAATAGTTTTAGAAAACAGGCACATTTTTTTAGAGCAAGTCAAATATGAAATTAATAGTTATTAGTCTGACTTCTGAATATAAAATTACTCAAATGGATGCTTATCACCATAATTTCCCTCCATACCAGTAATAGACTCTGATGAGCACAGATGGCCAGAGGAAGAAGGAAGCCAGGAAAACCAGGATGGGAATCACCAGTGTTCCTCCAGCGATGATAAACAGGTTCACTACATCCAGATCAGCAGCCATGACTGACCTAAAAACACATCAGGAACTTGCGTTGTTCACACAAGAACTGGGTGAATGTGTCAAATCCTGAAAAATACATTTAAGAAAATATAAAACTTACTTTTCCTGTTTCTTATTTCTCTCCTGGTCTCTCGTATCACGTGCAAACACATGTGGACATGGCTTTTATTGGTGTTTCTGTTGATGTGTTAAACCATTTTCCTGGAGAGTTGAAATAAAACCATCCCCCTGAAGAGCACAGTTAGCTTTGTCAGATTATGTTTGCTCTGGTGAAACTCATCGATTATTAGTCAACATTAGAGAAAACCAGGCCACAAGTTAGGGTCAATATTTTAAAGGGAGCGCACCCTCAAGTTTAATTTGGACTGAGCTCAGAAAAAGTTAAATTAAAAATAGAAGCAATAAAAAGTTGTTAGAAAATAATTGATGCTCATTTGTGTACAGTAATTGTAAATTATGCAGAACATTCAAAATACTTAGATTTCTGCAGATGTATAACTAGTTAGATTATGAATCATTGCATTTACTCTATTGCTTTTGCTACAGACAGCTAGAAACTGCTTCAGATCAGCTGCAACACTGAAGACCTGTATGCCTACAGCTAGAAGCGCTAACAACTCTTCAGACATATTAATTAGAGGGTTTTTTTCTTACAATTTGGTTAATGTAGCACCTTTGAACTGCATTAGAGACCATTCCTTTGGGATCTGCTGTCTCTACACCCCCAGCAGTTCCCTGAGGTCCAGTGACCAAAGCCTACTGGTTGTGCAGCACCAGGCTAAAGACCAAAGGTGACAGATCATCTGCTGCTGTGGCCCTCTGGATCCCTCTCCCCCTGAGCCTGATCTGTGGACTCAGTGGTCTCCTTTAAAAGCAGTTGAAAACGCACCCGTTCAGACTGGATTTGGTGTGACCTCCTGTTCACCCTCTTCTTCCTCACCAACTTATTTTCATGCTGGTCTTTCTGTAGATCAGTGAATGTCAACTGGCGGCCCACAGGCCTCACCCGACCTGCTAGATCTTTCCACCTGGCCAGTAGCGGTTTTAGGCACGGGCAGACAGGGCAGTTGCCCGGGGCGGCATTTTTTCATGACACAAAAGGGGCGCACAAGCGCTGAGTAAAAAAAAAAAAAAAAAGGAAATCTGCGCCGCACCGAGGTTTTCTATTATCTGACAGTGTCTGGATTGGAAACAGCAAGATGGCGCCCCCTGCAGCTGCAGGCGCTCATGCTGACTGAGAACGTTCACGTGCACCGTGTGTCTATGAAGAACAGGAAGGGGAGGGGTGCGGCGGGGGAATTCACCTCTGCGTCTTTCCCAAATGAAATGAGCGTGCAGGGGCTGAATCAACTGTATTAACATGGCTAAAGTTAATCACATCTTAACGTTCTTCCATATTTCATTCATAATATCATAAACACAGGCCTATCATTCTTTCAGGTTACTCTGAATTGTGTGAAATGGCCGAATAAAAAAAGGAAAAACAAAACGATTTTGTGGTCACACCCCCATCAAGGTCAAATAGTTTAGTCCTGACTAAAGGAAACTTACTGAGTCAGGAGCCAAACAGAAGAGATGAACATAAAAAGGCTAAAACCACCAAGTGCCCCATTCAGGGGGAAAAAAAAGAAAAAAGAGCAGAAAGATAAAGGTATGTAGCTCTCATGATGCATGTTTTCAATTTTTTGAACCAGTTAACTGGGATTTTAACGGTTAAATGCGGTCAACTAATTGCTAACAGAGCTAATAGGGCTGAAATATTGAAACAAATATTCAAATGGTTCGAAAAAAGTCCTTGAATCGTTTTTTACTGATTCAAACTAGGATTTGTTAAATGCTCACTGCAGCCTGTGGCCTGCCTGAACAACAACAAACACATGTTGATCATGTTCACATAATAATAAATAAAACAACTCTACAAGCAGAAGAAAACTCCCCAGTCATCACTAACTATCCTGTTTATTTATTGCAGATGGCTGCACTGATTATTTTACATGATTTGTTCTGTAAAAGTTGGCATTTTTGGTAGTCTACAGTTATTTTTATGACAGTTTAAATTACAATTTCAAAGGCATTTCTAAAATATTATGGATCATGAGATCTATTGGAGATCTACCCCAACTTTTGGACTGCTCTGCCAGTCACTGTGGCTCAAGCTGAGCGGAGCTTTTCAAAACTTGATCAAGTCATACCTGAGGTCAGCTATGTTTCAGGGGTGGTTCACTAACCTGGCTCTGATTAGTATCAATCACTCAGTAGGGGAGCAGATTTCATGTGATGACATTATTGATGACGTTGCATCAAGGTTAGGTTTTAATTTTAGTTTGTGTTTTCTGTTCTAAGTGCAATGCTGTAGTGATTATCTTTAGTTTGTTATGTGTGAAATATTTTTGCTATTTAGAATATTTATTATCTATTATGTTCATATATTCTTAATATTTAGTTATTGTTTGTTTTTGTATATTTGATTCTATATATTTTGATACAGTATATAATGTATAGTGCTTTACATTCTGACAACTTCATAGTAATTAATGTAAATATGTGCAACTTAGAAAAATGAATGTTCAATAGTCGTTCTAATAAACATGCCTGTTTGTAGAAAACATGCGTGTGTTCGTGCAGATGGGGTGGTGGTGGTGGGGCGGTTGGGGGGGGGGGGGCTCAAAGGGGGCCTCGCCCGGGGAGTAATTCGATGTAGAACCGCCACTGCACCTGGCACCCCATTATTAGTGAATAGAGCAAATGCATGTTCTACTTTTTTATAGCAAATTAAGCAAACTGGAAAATAGACTTTAATCAGAAATGACTACAAACTCAGGTCTCATTCAACATTTTTTATTTAATCTGCAGCAGTTCATAGAATCTCCATTTTTGCGCTTTTCACTATAATAGCGCAGAATTGTGGTGTCTCGACAAAAAACGCTCACAGGAACAAAGCAACACATGTAGGATAGGCCTACAAGCAAACTAAATTTACTAGCATAGGATGAGCCAAGTAAAGGAATTGTAATTAAGGGAGAAAACAAGCTGAATAAGTAAAATAAAGTTACATAAAAGGCTCTCTTAGAGAAAAATGACTAAAGACTAAGCACGTTTTGGAAGACAGCATGCTTAAAATATGACGTCAAAGTGATGGAGAGCGGAACAATTAGGAAGCCTAATATGTCATAGTCGCCCCCTAGTGGCTTGGGTTAGTAAAGGAAATACAAACAAACACTGGCAGATGCTAAAATAAATAACAAATTTGGAAGGAAAATCAACATATCAAGTATTGATATTTTAAGAAATAATAATAATTGAAATTTATTTTAGAAGAGCATCTGATTCTCACAAAGTCTCCTGGGAAAAAACTGTTCCTTGAACAAATCTAGTTGAAGACCGCTGCTGTAAATTCTGTAGTTTTTGAGCTTTTCATTTTTATGCTTATTTGAAGTTAAAAATTTTCTCCAATTTTTGGCTAAGATGTTTCTTTTAAATATTATTATTGTTCTTGTGAAGAACCTTGTGATTTTGATTTTGAGGCAATTTATAAAAAAATAAATTCTTGTACTTCTTTTGCAAATTCACCATTCTAAAAATCAGGCTTTAAAGTGACAGTGTGTATTTTCCCTGGCGATAGGGGGCAGTACATACCTAAATCATTGTAAGCAAGCATTATTCTTGTGTTCAACTAAGACCTTATCAACTGATGGCCATTAGGGTCAAAAAGCCCTGGGAGTGCATCCTCCAGCATAATAACAAGAACATTAGATTGCATTTTATCACTTGTAATGAGTGGAGAGGTAAATGTGTAAAAGAACAAAGTTTATCAATGCAGAAAGTTTTGTAACCATTTGTTACAGATCAGTAAATGCATTCTGGGGCAGCAGTAGAGCGGGTTGCCTCATGATTGGAGGGTCATGGGTTCAATTCCAGCTCCCACCAGAGGTGTTCTGCTGTTGTGTCCTTGGGCAAGACGCTTCACCCAACTTGCCTGTGTTGGTGGTGGTCAGAGGGGCCGACGGCACCAAATGACAGCCTCGCCTCTGCCAGACTGCCCCAGGGCGGCTGTGGCTACGTAGTAGCTTACCATCACTGGCAGCAGGGGCGTCGGACTGGGGGGGGGGGGGGGGGGGGGTACCGTTTACCCAGGGCCCACTGCAGGGAGGGGCCCTGAGACAGCTTTGAATAAAAATGTTTTATTGTTGTTGTTTTTCCCCCCCAACTTACTTAATGTCTTAATAAACTTCCCTTTACCTGGATAAAGAGGTTAAGAAACAGAATTTCGCCTTAAAAGTAATAACTGAATAATCTCTGAGGCATCTATCACCCCTGAAAAATGTGCAAAGTGGTTTAGTCCACACCAGCGGCCAGGGGCTGCACGGCTGCATGTACAGCTATGAGACATTGCAGATGCCGACAGCCAGAGCTGGAGGCAGGAGAGTCAGTCATGTCTTTTCCCAAGAAAGGGAAATCTGGCTTCCAGAAAAGAAAAGAAAAGAAAAGAAAAGAAGGAGAAGGAGAAAAAGTTAATTGAACAGAAGCAAGTATTGACTAGGTTCTTCAAGAAGGAAGGTGAGCAGCAGCAGAACACAGTTTTAGCTGATATTAGCTAGCTCTCAGAAGCTGCATTCATGTTAGGTGTTCAGTGTTAAACGCCTTTAGTTTCACCATCAAGATCAAATATAAATTAATTAGTGTTATCAGTGAAAACACTAATTAATATATATATATCTTCGTCTTCGTCTTCCTCCGCTTATCCGGGTCCGGGTCGCGGGGGCAGCATCCCAATTAGGGAGCTCCAGGCCGTCCTCTCCCCGGCCTTGTCCACCAGCTCCTCCGGCAGGACCCCAAGGCGTTCCCGGACCAGATTGGAGATGTAACCTCTCCAACGTGTCCTGGGTCGACCCGGGGGCCTTCTGCCGGCAGGACATGCCCGAAACACCTCCCCGGGGAGGCGTCCAGGAGGCATCCTGACCAGATGCCCAAACCACCTCAACTGGCTCCTTTCGATCCGGAGGAGCAGCGGTTCTACTCCGAGTCCCTCCCGAATGTCCGAGCTCCTCACCCTATCTCTAAGGCTGAGCCCGGCCACCCTGCGGAGGAAACTCATTTCGGCCGCTTGTATCCGCGATCTCGTTCTTTCGGTCATTACCCAAAGCTCATGACCATAGGTGAGGATTGGGACGTAGATCGACCGGTAAATCGAGAGCCTGGCTTTCTGGCTCAGCTCCCTCTTCCCCACGACAGATCGGCTCAGCGTCCGCATCACTGCAGACGCCGAACCAATCCGCCTGTCGATCTC